TGCTTTCACTGATAAATCAAGGCATAATTCTGCATTTACAATGTGTATGATAGATAAATTATATACTTACACATGTAGCGATTCTCGCCACAACACTTGGAGGTAATGCTCACATAAACAATACAATAAATTTATTTAATTTAAACTTATGTGTCTCGATCATAGAGTTAAAAAAGTATGACCTATGCTTCGTTAATTACATTACTTAGTAGGGTTGCTTGCTATGTTTTATTTCGTGACTTAGCAAGACATAAATAGTGGTACTTTTATTCGAAAGTTTCTTCAAAATGGCGCTGAATTTAGTCTGGCTCATAAGATCGGATCTAAAAATCAACCCAACGAGAAATATATTTAAGGAAAATATGTAAATACTATCAACAGAATTTTTCTATAGGTATTACACACACATTCTTTTTTTTAAATTATTTAGACTAAGTATCATATTTGATTCAATGATAAAGATGAATTTTCTGATTAGATTTTTTTTATGTAAAAAGTGGCAAACGAGCAGACGGCCTACTTGGTGGAAGGTAGTTACCGTCGCCCATGGACATCCGCAACATAGGTGTTACGAATGCGTTGCCAACCTGGATTGTTGAGGAAAAGGGAAGGGTGGGATTAGGGAAATAACAGGAAAGGGAGGGAATGGGGAAAAGGCAACCGGCTCTCTCACTCATCGGACGAAATTCAACCACTCAAGGCTATTGCACCCCGATCTTCTGTGATATATTTATTGCAAATATAATTAAGGTCCAAATTCTTGTTCAAAGTTACTTTAATATACTTACATCAAAACAGTCCAGAGAACATGAACAGAGAACATGATATGATATCAATAATGTCAAAATATTTGGCTATTATTATGAGATGAATGTTTGACAAACATCCAGGGTCCATTCTATTTATCTCAACATTAATGATTTGTGTAACATAATAAAGAAATTTTATCAAAATATATCACTTCAAAATGTTTAAACGGTTGATAAAAGCTATTTTCGTTAATCTTAACAAGATGCTGTATGTTTCATTTTACCAAATAAAATATTTAAATAACAATAAGAGTAAATTAAAAAAAACAACATTCACAACCTAAGCAAACTTCTATATTCATATTGTGAAAAGTATGACAATTAGGAAACTTGAATACAAAACTACTCCTTTCCTAAAGCCAGCTAGTTTTTCTTTCCTTTATAACTTACTGTATTGCACTGTACTTTGCAATAGCCTACTAAAAATCATTGAATAGATATTCAACTTATAAAACGAACATATAGACATATTAATATCGCATGTAGCTTCAATTTCCTGTTTTTTTTTTAGTAGGTACATAAAAACCTATTGTTATACATCCTAAAAAAAATGACTCTACTTGTAAAACAAACTTACACCTTATAGTACTGTTTGTGTAGTAAATGCAAAGTTGTAAAGCTCCTTTAACAAACGTTATTTGTAACAACAAAAAATGCCTCCATTATAAGTGCACGATTAAATAGAAAAAATATATATTAAAAAATTAATTTTTCAATAATTTTAATCTTAACCTATATACCTATGTAGACCAAAACTCGAAGGAAAACAAGTCACTATTTGACTTATTATTTATTTTCATGAATATTATATTACAATTGTTACAAAACTTTTGACAAATTCGTTTCAATAGAACTTGTGAAGGTTTTCAATAACTGGGCGAATAAAGAATATTTAGCTTTGCTTTCAATAAAGAAAACCCTATTAGACGTAAGATTAAGATTGACGTAAATTGTGCTATAAGCTCATATTCATATGAAAAGGATGTCGATTGTAGCATTAAAACCATAGTCTCAAAATAAAACATCTCGATAAAATTCTTGGTTACACCATTTCAACAACTTACTAAATCTTAATACAAAAAATCCAACCATACACTTCGAACCATTTTGTCTTCTAAAAGAACTACTTAGTCTTTATAAAATTTTATTACTTTAAAAAATCCAATAGGTTATTTAAAGTAACATTTATTACTATTACTGTAACTCAGTCAGGTACAAAATGTATAAAGCTTATTCGAAGTGGTCTCAATTGGCTTTAAGACATACAGTCCATTAATATTGATCCCAATTATAAATACCACTTTCTATTAGAAAATGGACTATGTGACTTTAAACTATCCTAGCGATTCGAGTAAGCCCTATTCTCTGAAATTGACCATCAATCATAATCCAGTGGAATAACATCAGGACTAGATGAAGTCATCAGCTCCGATGATGTAAGCAATAACCAAGATTTTATGGATCGAGCTTTGTGACCCGGCGCCAATTCTTCCTTAAAGGACCATTTTTAGAGCTACTAACGAGCGTTACTTCCCTTCAAAGACTACTACTATCTTGATAAACTTGAGCCAATATTCTGATACCGCGTCCCCAAAATATATGGCCCAATTACTACTCCATAGCTAACAACCCAATAAAACCATTACTTAAGTTGCATAATGCCGATGTTTTACTTTCCTGTCTAATTCGAAAATATCTTTAAAGCAAAAAAGTAATATTTTATTTTTTTTACTGTCAAAGAATTTATAGCAATACTAAGTATTATTACTTGCTTACGGAACCTGAGAAATTAATTAATTAAGTATCAGAGTAAAAGCACAGTAAACCCAATAATGTATTATACAAGAAACTGCGGTCGTAAGTATAATTTCTTAATGTAACTTTTCTTCATTACCTAATAATGTTTCGTTCATTTATCGCATAACACATTACATGCCTCTGCGAAGTTACAATTAAGTAAAATTGTTTAAAAAATCCGTTTTTATACAAAAGTACAAAAGTTTAGATACAAAAGTTTAGATTTGTCTGTCCTTGATTGTAGATTTGATTTTTTCAAATAAAAAAATCTAATAAATATCTTAAAGTATACGTAAATTTTTCGTTACTCATATATACATTAATAACGTTAAAAATTAGTAACTTACTAACCTTGCAGAGTAATCTCACTCAAGATTACATATTAACAACAGACAAGGCAATTTCCTTAAAAATTCTAGCTAGTTTAGTAAATGTCTATTTCTTTTTGACAAGGTTTTATAAAACTAAGAATTCAAATTTGAAACATATTGTTAAGTGACGGGAAAACCTTCAAGCTTCAGAGGGTTCTTTAAAAAGTTTTTATCGTGACCTCCTTGTACAAAACGGCATTATTATTTTTTTCTTTATCTGTTTCTAATATCCTCAAGTAAATTGATTCGCATACTTTAAACGAGCGCAGTAAATTGGAAGCCCTGACGGTTTTGTAATTAATAAGATTTATGTGGGTCCATATGCTAATATTAATGTAATGTCGCCTTGAAAAATAAACAAAAACATTAAACAAATTTAACATATCTATTATAACAAATATATAATAGGTATGACATTTAAATATTAAGACTACCGCCAAAGAGGATTTTCGTCAATTAACTCGCAGGTAAATTTTAATGATCTAAAACCGAATGGCTGTAAACGAGGTTATATGTCTGATACTAATTAATTTATATTTTTCAGTTCGTGAGATAAATTTTGTTTATGTCGATACATCAAAATGAACATGTTAAATTTGTTAATAAAATTTATACTCACAAGCCAAGAAAACTAGTAATACCTGTATGCTTAGCACATGTTTCTATCGCCAAAAAACATACGAAGCGTTTTCTGTTTCTCATTCAATAATCTGCGTTGATACTATAATATGCGAATATTAACGAATAATAACTTTTACTGATCCCTATGAAGTGCAAAAAATGCTAACTTAAGCATACTACTTATAAATCATTGACGTAACCTAAATGATATTTTTCTCACTGCAAACATTTTTAATATATACATTTTTCATAGAACAAGTCAATAGAACTGATCTAGTTTAATCAAATTACTTTAAAATGTCTACTGTATATTGATGTTGACTTTTTGATATACATAAATCAAGAACGGCTACTGCCGAAAAGCTTTTTTTTCATTAAAAAAAAATTGCACAAACTAGGTACTACTAATATACATGTAGGTATATACGGTATACCCAAAAGGTTTTTATAAGTTCCTGTAGTCCTTTTCAATGTTTAATACTAATACTCAGTTTAAAATATGTGAAGTCTTGTTGTAAGCTCCTCGACTGTTTTGAATTTCGATTCACACACATTTTTTAGAAATCTATGTAAAATATGAATAAAAAAATAAATATTAAACTTAGAAATAAACAATTGTACAAGTGATATATTATATTATAATTTCAAAAACTTAAAATCAGTTACTATACTTAAATGGAGGATTTTGCAGACTTCTATAAATAATAGACATTTTTATTTGAGGATTAACTATTTTATATTATATTTTCTATTATATTTCAACTTAACAGGATTTGCAAATTTACTATTCAATTTAGGTTTTATCTAAATATTTTGTTTCCAAAAAGGAGAGAACACTACAAAAATTACCTTTTATATACGGAATACGGATCTATACGTATCTATACGAATTTTCTCTTTTATGCTACCAGTGTAAAAGATTAGAGTTAATAATCTTCGGCTTAAATATCAAAACCATTACCGATCAATGACATTAGTGAAAGCTATAACAACAAAGATATCTTTTGGTGAAGACTAAAATTACAATATTATGCATTTTAGTCTAGGTATTGACAATGTGGATATCAATTTTACTCGTGAAATATGAAAACATATTTATGTTAACAATCTAATTTACTATTTCATATTTGGTTATATAGGGATCTCTATTTTCTCAGTGATTTTCTACAGCAAACTTATTTTTGAATTGTCAATGTCATGTCCAAAATATGTATATCCATGATCGCATACGACATAAGTCAGTGGAGGTGGAAATTATGTCATATTTTTTTTATTTTATAATAGCCAATAGATAAGATAATAACAATTAAAACATAGTATGTAGTTCGGAGGTTTTTTAAGTTGCTTTAGTTTTCAATATTACCTCAAGGAAAATAAACGTGGATTTTGAAATATTCATGAAATGGCATTCAAACCAGTTTCCCACGTCCTATTTGATTTAGATGGACTTCTCATAGGTATGTATTGAATATAATTCAATAACATTTGTTTTTTACATAAATGAAAATACGAAATATGTAACAAGTACTAACGGTCACGAATTTTATGTTCTAGATTCTGAAAAAATTTACACTAAAAGCTTTGAAATCGTGTGTGGAAAATATGGAAAGGTCTTCACATGGGAATTAAATTCTACAATATTAGGTACCCAAGGCCATGAATGTGCTGACAAAATTATTAAAGTACTAGACCTACCTGTTACAAGGGAACAATTTATGAATGAGTGCCAGAAAATAAATGAGAAACTTTTTTCAAATGTCCAGTTAATGCCAGGTAAATAAGTCTTAAAACCTTTAATCAATATTTAAATTCTAATAACACACCTTTTTTTAATTTTCAGTCAATCCGTCAATTCATATCTTTCTATGTTTTACACTAAATTTAAATAAATGTTTTATAGTGCTGTGTAATATGAATTTTCAGGAGCAGACAAATTAGTTTCACACCTACATGAAAAAGGCATACCTATTGCATTGGCAACAAGTTCAAGTGAGGATAGTGTGAACAAGAAAATGAAAGACCATAAACAATTTTTAAACAAATTCCATCACCTTACAATGGGTTCTTCAGACCCAGAAGTAACTAAAGGGAAACCTGACCCAGCCATATTTTTAGTCTGTTCCTCTAGATTTAATGATAAACCAAAGCCTGAAAAGGTAAGTACACATAAAAAAATCAAACGAATACTTTTCAATTACATAATACTTATCAGTTATGATGTTATTATATTGGCTGAATCTTAGTAGTCTGTATATAAAGAATTCAATTTTTAAAAATAAGATAAGGATAAGGGTTTCATAGTAAAAATAAAATATGTTCATTTGGGAAGACACAAAATGATTCTTGAAGAATATTTAAAAAGTATGCTTATATCTACTGATAAGCCCATTTTTCTTTACTAAACTCTAGTAGACTTTTCTGATGTAATAGCAAACCTATGACTGTATTTAGAAACTTAAGTGAGGTCTATAATGAAATTAATTATCATATAACCATTGTAACGACTGCATTCGTTTGACAAAAGAAACACTTCTAAGCCATCACATACATACATATAACTATTTAGGCTAAACTAAGCTAAGCCAGTGGCTGTTGTCAATGGACGCCAGCTTTGACCTTTCATCACTCATTTGAAAGAGTGTTAACATTATTTTTTAATTATTAATATCTTGTACAAAACACTTTCACCTGTTTTATTCATAATATATATATTTTTTTGTAATCTTAAAAAATTACTCATTTATTGTTCTTTTACTAAACAAATTGTTTAAAATAACTCACTATTTTTTTAGTAATAAATTATCTGTTTTAAAAATATATATAATATTGAACATTCATAATAATTTAATGTATTGGTTTTAAAAATACAAAAATTCAGCAAAATTATTTGTTATTAGAATATCTCTTCTCTGTAATCTGTATAGACCAAAGCTTAGTTAGAACTTTTAGTTATAATAGCATTATGTAATTAAAACAGTTCCATAATGTATTATGTCTTAGACTAAAAGAACATCATCATTACTAAGATGCTAGTTAGAAGTTAAAAGCTTATGAGCTGACAATCAATATTCTCCATATAAAACAACTAGCTTTCCGCCCGCAGCTTCGCCGCGTGGAGTTCGGTTATATCGCGTTTCCAAGAGAACCTTTCAAAAGTCTGGGATAAAAACTATCCTATGTTCGTTCTCAAGGTCAACTCTATCTCTGTACCGAATTTCATTAAAATCAGTTCAGTGGTTTAGGCGTGAAAGCGTAGCAGACAGACAGACAGACAGACAGACAGAGTTACTTTCGCATTTATAATATTAGTAGGGATAGTTAAGGTTTTCATTTCCATTTTCGATTTTGCACATTAATAAGATTCTAATCCTTACGCGAGTATTCATTGAAATAAAACTAATATTTTTCGAATTTACTACCATGATCACGGTTGCTACCAAGTAACTGAAATGACGGGAGTATGTTGTTAAAAATTATTATTGAAGTGTAGTAAATACGAAAAATAATATTTTAATTTGCATATTATTTTTAAGTATAATCTCTTATAAATTGATATTATTGAGTATAAAAATTAAATTAAAATAGATCTATCTCTTATGTCACTAGTTTATTAGGTAGACATTATTTTGATTGAAAATTTCTATTAAAAATATATCATTTCTTTAAATACAAAGGATTCAATGTTAATATTAAATAATTTTTATTGCTCCCAGTGCCTAGTTTTTGAAGACGCTGTGAATGGAGTTAAAGCAGCGCGCGCAGCTAACATGCAAGTAGTCGCCGTCCCTGATCCAAGAATCGACAAACAACAACTTAGTATTGCTACGTTAGTTCTTGATTCTTTGGAAGATTTCAAACCAGAGCTCTTCGGTTTACCGGCTTACGATTAACATAAATTTGTAACAATCTGAAAGTATTCAACTAAATAAGAAATAGACATAAAAAAACTAGTTTGTATCCTCAAAATGTAAACGCTTTAGGTAAAGCTTTTATAATTTGACATTACCGTTGTCATTTGACAAGCGGTCTTTTGACAAAACGAAACGAAAATATTTATCTCACAATCTGATTACTCTATTTAGAATATGTGAAAATTTTATATAATTTGTTACCATTAAATATAAGCTTCAACATTAAAACCTACGTTATATATAACTATATATTTTAATACAGTTACAACTGAACAACTATTTTTAAATAATGCAGATGTTTCTAGATATTTTTATGAAAGTTGAGAACTTATTATTATTATTGTTACTATTTATCTTTCTACTGTCATAAATCTTTTGAGGTGTTGTTCAATGTTTTTTCACTGTGATTGTATCGTTACGCACATCGTAGTAGAATAAGTATTAAAATGTAATTTGTTGTACTTAAATCGATAACCCATAATTTTACTTTAAAGATTTTACATGAGCGCTACAAAGTAGCAACTTTACAGAATAGAAGGAATGTGATACATACATTAAAAGGGCACCACGCTTATTATATTTTCAGCTTTCATTTGTGATTTTTATTGTTTACCTTTAAGTAGATAATCTACTTATATGTCCCCTAGAGACACGTAAATAAATATATGCAAATATACATAAAGAACACTTAGAATTTATAGGTGTTTATATAAAATAAAATACAATTTATACCATAATAAAGTTGACACGAAAATTTATTTAAAAAGTAGAAGTCACGTTTGAACACTTACATTTTATTGTTGCACTAAAGATTTTGAATATACTGTTTTAAAATTATAATTGTATTATTCTATTAATTTTTAAATTATATTTCTACAATTTACGAAATAAAGGAAAATTAGTCAATTCATCAAAAAAATGTTTTTACTTCTAAAGTTGATACCAGAAATGTAAAAAAATATTAAAATATTTAAGTGTTTTAGCAATATGATATGAAAATTGATAAAATCAATCTCCAAGACTTAAAAGATGACGTGCAATGGATTGTTTATCTAGGATGCATTAAAGTTCAGGCTACTTAATAGTCGTCAGTCATTTTCAAAGTATTTTAACTTGGAAATCTTTTTATTTTTGCTCCAAAACTCTTATTTATTGTGATTCGTACATTTATCATCTATAATTTTAGACCCTATTTTTTTATGAAAAGTAATTCTTCTCATATATTAGTAAGCATTCTAAGCAGAAGTGAGAATAATAAGTCTTCTTCTTCCTGCCCTGGTCCCACTTTATGTAGGGTCGGTACAATATGTTCTTCTCTTCCAGTCTCGCCTATCAGCCGTCATCTCATCGGTTACCCTTTTCTTAGCCATGTCATCCTTCACGCAATTCATCCATCTTTTCTTATGTCTACCTCGGCCCACATATCCCTCCACATTAATATCTAACATTCTTCTTATTATATGACATTCATTCCTTCGCATAATAATAATTGTTTAGTTTATATAAGCGAATTAATATTCTTACGTATTTAAAATAGCTGGCAACAAACAATTAGCCTCAACTCCGCCAGCGTTGTCTATGCCAGATTCATTTAAAAGTTGAAACGTCACATTGTTGAAGTAAAACTTTAGAATACAAACAAACATTTAAATATGTGTTGTGAATAATATAATATTACTGAATAAACTATATATAAGGACTCACTTTTAAATTGTTAAAATATTATTTTTTTATTGATAACGTTAGTTTATTACACAAATATAATAGTTTATAAATTGGTGCTCAGTTATTTTAAAAAACATGGAAGGGCCTGGAATGAGCCTCTTTCAAGGTGCTGCAAGCATTCACATTAACAATAGTGTACAAGATAGACTTGAAGAACAGGAGGAGTTAGAGGACAAAAAACGTTTAAACGAAGAGGTATATAACAAAGTTACGTTGTTTTGTTTCATAACTTGTTTCCTGACAAAGTTTGTTGTTGTAGTTAAAGCACAATTTACAAAATGCGTTTGACGATCTTCAAGATGATGATGAGAACAGTTCTGTTAACAGTAGCGGCAATTACACGTTGGATGCAACTCGCGCTAATGGAGGTTGGTGTTAGAATATTAAATATTTTTTATCTTCACGTATATAGCGGTTGGAATATAATAAATAATAGCTAACAAAAATTCACTGTCCACAGTGCAACACCCAGTTCGAAATGTCCCACCTACATATGTGGAATCTCTTAATCATTTAAAAGATATTCAGCATAATATAGATTTATCAAAACCATACTGCGAAACACCGAAATCTCATTTACAATATATAAGAAATCATGAAGATGGGATGGGCATTCCTTTCAGTCCTTACGGTGCTGGTGATGGTCAAAACCATTATTACCATCAAGATTACAGAGGTATTTTAAATGTTACATATCATTAGCAATTTTTAATAAAATAACATTGACTTTCAATTCAAATTTCATTTAAGCACATCACAATGGTATTACAAATATGGATGCCAGACAGGAGTATATGGATTACGAACAGCTTAAAATTATGTATGAGGTGAGTTTATATACAAAATATTATATGTAAAAAATATACAAAATATAAAATTTTTAAACCCTGCACTCTTAGAAATATAAGACAAAAATAAAAGAAGTAAAAATTATTCTATCAAACTTATTCTCATTTTTGTGATTTTTAATATAGAATTAGAAATAGAACTTTCTTTGTCTGTAATTTAACATTGCACAGTTTTTATGAACTCCACCTATTATTTTATTAATTACTAGTTTTTTCCCGCGACTTCGTCCGCGTTAATTTCATCATTAGTAATATATTTATAGCTCACCGGGCGAACTCTATTCCGTCCTAGAGGCCATAAATAATCAGGTTTTTCCTGTTTCAATCGAACAGAATGATTGACATAATAGTTAGTTGTCAAATCTAATGTCAAAGAAAACATTTGTATGGGAAATAGAAAAGGGCTGTTTTTAGGATTTTTCCGAAAATGAATCAAATTTTCTCACCTTTTAAACCTTCCCTGAACCTCCACAAACATTTCAAGACTAAGATAAGATAAATCCGTTCAGCCGTTCTCAAGTTTTAGCGAGACTAAGGAACAGCAATCCATTTTTATATATATAGAAGATTATTGATAATTGTAATTGTTTATACAGGGTGACTGGTGAATTACTATCGATATTTGAGGACGTGATATTAGACGATCATATATGACAAAATAAAAATTAATATAACATAAATATTAATAAACTTCTAAGTAAAGTTAACCAAAAGTTGTGTAATTAATTACACATCGTATGAACACCCTACAGATTAGGTATACACACACACACACACAGACGCGGCGGCGGCGTAGTGTTGTATCAGCACGCCGCCGCACGCGTCCACACTTGGAACACTTGGAACGTGTACACACTTTATTTATTTATACGGAAATTTGGTCAAAAATTAAGTGCCTATTTTTTTTACATAATTCGAATGAGAATCATGTACCGAGTATGCTCCTTAAATATTGATAGTAATTCACCAGTCACCCTGTATATAGAATTTTTGAAGTTTATGTTAATTTTTTATATTATAAAACTATATTAAATTATAAATTTAAGAATATCAACTACCAATTTGTTGAAACTTACATATTTGAAGAAAAATTTATTATATACTTTTTACATACTATATGCATTATTAAACACGATAATATATTACTGATTACTTTAATATGCAATATAAATATCTTTTTTAGAGACGAATTGAAGAAAGCCAACACTATGCGGCTCAAATAGAGAAATTGGACAGTGAAATTGAAAGCTTACGAGCCAGGCTGCTAGCAGCTATACAGGATAAAGAAAAGGCTGAGTTATCACTACAAGAGGCACGCCAATTATTTAGTATGTATTTTTACTATCAGATAATACATATCCATCCACATCCACATCGTGAAATTCGTGTTATGGTTCTAATGGAAAGTCGCACGACGCATTGTGGCAATTACAGAAAGACAAATAGTGAAAATTCATATCATATCTGACATGCTATCCAATCACAACAATTTGTGGCAATTAAAAAGCCTACAACTCCTTCTGAGCATTCTTTGGTTTAACAAAATCATGACGTACAGGTAGTAACTTGTCCGTGTCGGCTCATTAATAGTATTATCATAATATTTGTACATACATACAGCTCTAAGACAAACAAAAATACTTTATTATCCATCACTTCGTCTTATAATGAATGCAATACAATGAACATTTATTTCCAACAGCATCAAGTAAGCATAAATCTATAGAGCTGGAACAACAAATGGCAGCTTTAGCTGAAAAAGTGGCTGAAAGTGAAAAAGGAAAAGAACAATTAAAGTTGGAGCTCAGGGCCGCAAACATGGCACTTCAAGAGTCACAAACAAGATTACATACTATGAAGGTTTGGGTTCAAGAACTTTATTTAAAAGAATTTACATTCACTTAAAACAATAATACAATTATAAAAAAATTTTTGTTGGGTAGTTTGACAATTTGTATGGTACACTCGATGCATAGAAACAAAGAACTGTTGCAACTCGAAGTGTTAACATACAGAAGTTTAGAAGTTTGATATACTGTTAAAAAAATATTTGACATGCAATGTATTATACAGTAATTTATTAAACATAGTTTATGTAAAAGGGTGTATATTAATTATTAAAATAGTTTTTACTTTTTCATATAACAACTTTTATTCTTAATTTTCTATATAAATATGTAGAAACTGTGATGGCATTATCATAGTTATGTGTTTTTAAATTAATTTGTTTATATTAATGCTATGGCATATTATGTTATATGTGGACTTTTTATTTTTAAGCCACAAGATACAAGATCATAAAAAAATTGTGAAGAGCAAATTGTATTCAAATTAATTTAAATAAAAACAAATAATAGTCACAACCAAAATTTCGATACAAAAAAAATAATAATGACAGAAACCTGGAACCAAATTAATTATGAGGCTCATTAATCCTCTCCCTGTAGTATTAATTTTCATGTATCAATTATATGTAATGTTTGTAGGTGGCACATTCTCATGACACTGATGCTTTGTTCAGAGAACAACAAGATAGGTAAGGAATATAATTATAATATTTTTAATTAAACTTTTTTATATGATTCATAGTATAGTAAATTTCGAAAGACCATTTCATACTTTCACTTACATTTTTTGTAGTTTTATGGACATCTTTTCGTGTCCATAAATTTGTTGCAAATAATGTACCAATCCTATTTTTAGTCTCCAACATCTTTATATTTAAAAAAGATAATAGTAATGTTTTTAGGACAAACAAAGTAAGTTATTTTCCTTTGCATTAACTTCTCAGTGTCTCAATGTATAATATTTTTCCAGGCATAGGGAAGAAGTAGACAGACTTCAAAGTGACCTTATGAAAGCAAAAAACAGACTCGAAGAAAAGGTACAGATATGTTTATTTCTAAATAACTATTATCTTAAAAGTACTCTATTGTAAAACCATTTGAAATAACAGTTGAGCATTTTATACAAAGTTAGTCTTAAATAAGTAGACAAGTGCAAAAAAGTAAAAGATGGTCAAAATACAAATTTAACAAAAACAAGTACTTAAAGTTTTATTATATAATTTTAAGAAGACTGCGCAAAATGTGCAGATAAGTATGGAATAAGAATACAAAAATACATTAGAAAATTATATAAATTATTTTTATATGTTAAATCATTATCAAACACTTATAACACATTTTCTATAATCAAAAATATACATCAAAATTCTCGTTACAGGAGAATGAAATAAAACTTCTAGAGAAACGTTGTATGGAAAGAGATAGGGAGAAGGAAGAAATACTCATAGATAAAGGAGCTACCATTAATAGACTGGCTGCGGAGTTACAAGACGCACAGAAGAAACTACTCAACGGAGACTCAACGAGACTTAAAGAGAAGATACTACAACTGACTACAGAAAGGAATACGGCTAGGATGCAGGTTAAAGAAATGGGGGTAAGAATAATAAAATCTTATTAAATATATAGGTGGTTAAGTTACTACAGCTCGAATATGGGCTGGTTCGACCGGGGAAGTACCACCCTCTCACAGAAGATCGATGTGAAGTGACTACTTCACATCGATCTTCTAGGACGACTTCTTCTTCTAGGACGACTTCTAGGGACGAAACGCAGTCATTACTGACCAGTAATGACTGCGTTTCGTCCGATGAGTGAGAGAGCCGGTTGCATGTTCCCTTTTCCCAACCTTTCCTTTCCTTGTATTTCCTTATTCCCACCCTTCCCTAAAAAAATGCAAGGTTGGCAACGCATCCGCAACAAAGATTTTGCGAATGTTCATGGGCGACGGTAACCACCTTCCATCAAGTGGGCCGTCTGCTCGTTTGCCACCTTTAACATTAAAAAAAAAATTGACTCATTCTGAATAGAAATGTTAGTTTTGTAATATATGGAAGTAATATTTTCGGATTATTAGGCGTTATTTTATTATTTTTAATACTCCCGAAGTTTTGGTTACTTTGTATCTACCCTGATCACTGGCAGACGAAATGAGAATGAAAAAAATAAGGCGTAGTAGTCCGAATATATTAGTTTCATTTAAATGAATACTGGGAAAGTTTTAAATCTCATTATTGTGTTATTTATTGAAAAAATTAGTGATATGTTTTGTTTTCAATTATATTATATGAAATTTAATTATTTTATTTGTATTCCAGTCAAAATTAGAAATCACAGCACACGAACTATCTCAATGTAGAAACAAAGTGCTGTCCTGCCAACGGGAATATGAAAACTGGAGGACATCGCTGAGCCAAATATTGAAAGACGCGCTCCCAGATAACAGCTATAACATAGGTAACATATAAAACGTATAATATATACGGATATACATAATATGTACCCATATATATGTGCGGAGTGCTTCGGGAAAGCAATTTTTGTCCTCATTCCCAAAAAAGATCGAGTTACTGATCCGAAAGATACTAGACCGATAGCTTTAACAAATACTATATCGAAAATCTTTTTCTCGGTTCTACAAACGAGAATGACGCGATTCATGCTCAGCAACAACTATTTTAGGCCAAATCACCAGAAAGGGTTTTTACCCGGGATTTCTGGATGCTTAGAACACAACACCTTGCTGTCGGAGAGTTTAAAAGATGCTAGAAAAAGCGAGCGGCAAATCACTGTTTGTTGGATAGACTTGGAGAACGCGTTCGGGTCGATACAACACGAATTGATGCTATTCGCGCTTAGATGGTACAACTTTCCACCCCTAGTTAGAGATATGATCGCGTCGTATTACTCAAAATTAAGGTTTTCTATAATAACTAAAGAAGGCCCTTCAAAAAGTTTGAGTTATAATGTAGGACTGTTTCAAGGTTGTTGTCTATCTCCAATTGCGTTTAATATCGTAATTAACATCTTAGTAGACAAATTAATCTGTAACGAGAAAAAAAATGGGGTTATCGGTTTAAGTTTAATAATAAATACACGGAATCCATTTTAGCCTTCGCTGACGATCTCGCAATACTGACACGTAACCCCAAACACTGTCAGGTACTATTGGATGAAGTGGATAAATTCTGTGAGTGGACGGATGGATTGAGGACAAAACCCAGTAAATGTCACTGTCTGTGTCTTGGTAGGCGGAATACAAGATACACCTCATACGATCCGGGACTATCGTTAGGCGGTCAATGCATTTCTACGGTTACGGAAAATGCACCATTTAAATTTCTCGGTCGTAAGATAGATAATATAGGCCGTACTCCATCTTTAGAAGGAATAGTAGATAGCTTTTTGAACGATCTTAACAAGGTAGATAGCCAACTGATAAGTAACGTCAAAAAAGCTTGGATCTACGAGAATTACTTAACTTCACGTTTGAATTGGCCTTTCCTCATCTATGATTTTAGTAAAACCCTTTTGTCAAAGTTAGATGCAGGCGTCATAAAGATGTTGAAGTTGTGGCTCGGGCTCGCTCTAACGGCTGATTCATCGGCGTTATTTAGGGGAAGCAATAGTTTTGGGATGAGTCTAAAAAGGCCATCGGAGCTCTATAAACACCTAAGAGTTTCCAAGAGATATATCCTGGGGAAATCCCATGATGACATAGTGACATCGCTCCCAAAAGATGAAGATGCCCCCGAGCTAGAGTCACGACTTCAATTCCATAAGCAATTTATGATAGGAGCGCAAAGTAACAGAGCGGGGTTAGGATCAAATAGGAAAGTCCAAGATGCGGATATATTGAAGTCTTTTATTCGGCAAGACGAGAATGATAAATATAAGATCCATGCAATGAATTTAGAAATGCAGAACGAGTGGTTAGACATAGGAGATTTTTGCATCCCATTAGCATTAAAATGGCGCACTTTAATTTATGATTGGTCGCCAGCATTGCTAAAATTCTATCTCAATGCGTTCCAGATGACTCTCCCAGATCAGAGTAATTTAGTAAGATGGGGTAAAAGTACCGAAAAAACTTGCTATATCTGTGGAAAGGCAGTTGGAACTGCTAAGCATCTGCTGGTGGGATGTAAGGTACTCCTTGACAGCGGTCAATACTCGCGTCGTCACGATAGGGTTCTAGAAGTCATACGTGAAGCGGTTAGTCTTTCCGTAGCCAGAGCGCAAAAGGGAATAACCACAAACGAACGATCAGTAGGTTTTGTGAGAGAAGGCACTAGGGCTACAAAATCAAACGTCAAGCCTTACTCCATCCTTAAAGCGGCGTCGGATTGGACTATAATGATGGACACGTATGAAAAACAATATAAAATCCCCGAGGATATTTGTGCATCGGCCTCCAGACCGGATATATTTTTGTTTTCGCGAATTTTAAAGCGCGTAGTGATGATAGAGCTTACGGTCCCTTGGGAAACCAACATCCCCAAAGACCATACCATCAAGGTCAACAAATATTACGAGCTCACAAACGAACTCACTCGAAATAGGTTCGTAGTAGATTTGTACGCGGTAGAGGTGGGAGCGAGAGGTATAACAGCGAAATCTCTCTATAACCTACTAAAGGACTTGGGCTTGTCCAGAACTCACATTAATGCATTCTTGGAACGTACATCGAAGGCAGCCCTAGTAGGTTCTTTTCAAATTTGGTTAGGTAGGGAGAGGAGCTTGGACAGTGGAGGTGAGCGTATAACGCGCGTTAGTTAAGGGGCCCCTTAAACCTACACTTGGGTCGCAAGTCCCAGGCACTGTTGAAGCTCCTCCCCCTGCAACGCGATGGACCCGGCACCCGCACGGTGAATCCATGGAATGCTGAGAAGTTTCGTCTACTTAAATGTATTATTACATACACATACATACATGTCATATTAAAATAAATTGCATACAATTAATAGTATTATGATGAGTAGCAAGACTTATGATAGAATATATTTAAGTGATCTACCTACATTATACTATACTATAGTGAAGTATAATGATACTTGACTATATAATTATTTAACATTACAGAGAATAACTAACTTAAAACAATTTTAATACCACTTATGGTCTTATTAGTAAATGAGTTATCGAAAAATGTTCCTAGAAAAATATGTGTAGTGCTCAGTCGTGATGAGTTTCGTATCTCAGATTACCAAGGCATGAACTCAAAAATAATTTTAATATTATTTGTGTACTAAGTACTAAAATGAGATAAATTATTCATGTTTTGTTAGGGAAATTTTTATTAATAATTAATTTCAATTAAAAAAATCAGGTGATCCTCCGTCCCCGGGCAAGTTGGCGACACTTAAGGAAGTATTGAGTCGCAACAAACAACAACTACAAAAACTAAGTACATTGCAAGAAGAAATAACGAAGAGGTAAACACACTTTATGTGTATGCATTATTATATCAGAAAAAAATACATTACTTAACTAACTTATGGCTATTTGTCCAAAAAAATTTATAGTAGCTTTGACCTAGCATCCCTAGTATAGTAATAAGTATTGTACTTAAAAGCCTACAATAATTATGATTAAAAAAAAGTTTATTCAATATAACTACAGATACAAAATTAAATAAGTACAAGTTTAATATATAGAACTAACATCATGTACCATATATATAATTTATTAATATAATAATATAGAACAATGCGATGGACCCCGCACTCACACGATGAATAGATAGAATGCTAAGAAGTTTCTTCCTATAATATTCTTTAAAAAATAATTACAGGGACATGAAAATCGAACAGCAAAGAAAACAAGAATCAGAGTTAAGAGCTAAGTTAGAAGAAAAAATGGGTTTGGAATTACAACTGACGTCACGACTCGCTGTACTACAGAATAAGATCGACTTGTTTGAAGCGAACTCAGATTCAGATATATTACTAAAGTATAAGGAACAAAACGAACAGCTGAGGATCGACGCCGACAACTTGAGGGATGAAATTAAAAAAGTTAGTAAAGAAGTTTTATATATTATTAATAGAGAACGACAAAATAATAAATAAGAGTAGTTTAAAAAAATGTTTTTTGCGAACGATTGACAACATATAATGATCGTTCAAAAACAGTAAAATCGGCAAAATATTCCACAATTTCAGTACGAATTAAGACAGCATACAAAATTCGTTAGTATACAGGGTGACTGGTGAATTACTATCAATATTTAAGGAGCATACTCGGTACATGATTCTCATTCGAATTACGTAAAAAAAATAGGTACTTAATTTTTGACCAAATTTCCGTATAAATAAATAAAGTGTGTACACGTTCCAAGTGTTCCAAGTGTGGACGCGTGCGACGGCGTGCTGATACAACACTACGCCGCCGCCGCGTCTGTGTGAGTGTGTGTGTATACCTAATCTGTAGGGTGTCCATACGATGCGTTATTAATTACACAACTTTTGGTTAACTTTACTCAGAAGTTTATTAATATTTATGTTATATTAATTTTTATTTTGTCATATAAGATCGTCAAATATCACGTCCTCAAATATCGATAGTAATTCACCAGTCACCCTGTATATAAAAAGTACTTATGTATATACAAAGTATATACATATGTACGGAAAATATCTACATTTCCTCGAGTATTATTGTATTACATGTAACTTAATTTCTAAATAAATTAAATATTCTTCACTAAAACTAATTACTAACTAGTAATATAAATTCATCAGCTTGAGCTAAAGAACACGGAACTCGAAATGGATTATGAGAAACTTAAGAATGAAAAGGGCAGTCGCGCGTCGCTCGTACAAGAAGCTAACGTTGATCTACTGAGAGAACTGGAAAAGAATAATAACACGCTCAAAGACACTCTTAGAGAAAACGGGGAGTTGAAGACATTATACATACAGGTCTGTACAACGAAACAAGATAAATAATGTAAACAACATACGTTATATGTAGCATGGGTTGGAGAAAAAAAATGATTTTATAAACAGATAGTATCACTGAAGAAATAATTTTTTTCTTATGCATTTTTTTATTTGTAGATATTGATAAATGGTGGTCTGTTAATATGAAATAGAAGTTATGTAAATATTATAGAATAATATTATTTGTTATCTGTTTTAACCTATTAAGCTTTAAATTATATTAATAAATAGAGGTTTGTTTATGGAATTTAATTTTTATTTACTGTCAATATTATTTCAATTATAGTCCATTAAAAAAAGTAAACAAGAAAATACGCATAGAATTAATAATTTTTCATATCATCAAGGTGTGCAGCGAAAGAGATGCAGTATCAAGGGAATTGAAAGAAGTACAAACAAAAACACAACGCGAATTAGAACATTATAAGACCGAGGAGAGAGATTACGTAGGAAGAATTGAGAAGGAGAAGAGACAAGTGGAGAAACTCACTTCTGACCTTAACAGTACCAAGGAAGAATTGGACAGAGCGAATAAGAGGATATCAGAACTACAGAAGATGTTCACCGACAAACAGAAGGAATTCACTGACAAATTAAATAAGTTCTTGGAAGGTAATATTCATTAAATATATTATATGTTACATAGAACAATAATACTATAAATGCAATACTTACTATGTATATTTGTTTCGCTAATACGGAAAAACTATTGTGTTTTAATTTCATACTTTTCAATTGCAATAATGTAACTTCCACTTGCAGATATTTGAAAAATATATATAGAATAATTTATCCGTATCAAAACTTTTCGCGTACTTTCCTGGAGATCACGCCATAACAGTTGTATTTTAAATCGTAGATGGCGCTGTCTCTAGGATATCCTAACATTTATTTTATCGACAATATTTATCCATCTCTGAACCAAATTCACTAGGAAAAACTAATCGAAGTACATAACAGAGTTACAAAAGCTAATTTAATCTACTTGTTTTATAATTTGCGCTTTGTTATGTAGCTATAGAAAGTTACAACAAAGCCTTAATATATTCTTATTTTATATGTTGTTTATAATATTTTATTTCTTTCACAGATGAAAAAACGTCTATGCGTAAAGAGATTCAGCCGTGTATGCAGTGCGAAAAGCAGTTGACACATATAAGAAATCTAGAGGAACAGCTCAGCAAATGTAACATTAAATTGGGTATTTATTATTCTTATATTAATTTAAAAAGTAATGATATCTAAAACCAATCTCTGATGTATTGTAATCATAATAAATTCTTTTTAATGCAATTATATTATATATATATATTCAAAGTATAGCTAACATTTATTTAATAATTAAGAAATCTTAGGAGACTTATAAAAAAACAGTTTAACTAAACATTACTTTGTCTCAATGTTTGATGTATGGCACAGATATATTACATATTTATAATCTATACAGATAAAATAATTAAAGTATTTGAACTTTTAATTTGCTACATTAAAAATGCAATTTTTCTGTTTTTGTCTGTCTATTTGTTTCGACTAATCTCTACAAGGACTAGACTGATTTAATGGGAAATACATTTTCATGTAGGTAATATGTGAGTAACTTAGGCTACTTTATATCCAATTTCCAATATACCTTTCAATTCACTTTTATGCATGATATAACTTCAATAAAGACTGGTTTAAAAACTCATTCTTTTAATCAAAAGATCATTGTCTTGAAGTAATTCTATTGTCACTAAAGTGAGGATATGATTAAGGGATCCACGAGGATTCGAACGAAATATTCTTAATAATAACATGAAATGATCTCAATACTTAAGTTTAATATTGATAAACCTCCCAACGAATTTTTTGTTACAAATAAATCCCTTTACACATAGTTAAGTAAAATAACATACATATATCATTGGCGAAATCTATAAAAAAACGCCACTAATAAAAAGAGAGAAGTGGTTGTTAATAACTATATTTAATTTTCAGCTTCCCAAGAAAGTAATGAGACATTGATGAAGGAATTGAAAGATAAAGCGGAGTTCTTCCAAAGTTATATCATGGAGAGATACAAGAAGCTGTGTGATCTGAGATCAGTGGCCACTAACACAGACGAAGACATAGACAGGGAACAAGTCGGTAGCACTGTACATGATAATGAAGAACTTGATGATAAGGTGATATATTTAATTAATAATAACTATATAAAATGAAAATCAAATATTTTCGGATAACTCCTCGTTTTATAATTATTGTTAAACTACATACTCCCGACGTCTCGGTTACTTATGGCAACCGTGATCACAAGCAGAAGAGGTGATAATGAAAAAAAAATAACGCGTTGTTATCCGAAAATAATAGTTCATTTAAACGAATACTCGCGAAAGTCTTAGATCTAATCATCACAAGTCGCGCAAACATATGCAGTAGTTAACTACAGATGTTTGTGCACAATTCTGAATTAATGATATTTTCAGACAATAATTATTGTATATAAAATATTCTTTATAATACTTTAGTATCTAATCCTATCTGAGAAGGGAAACGAAAATAAGTTTTGTATAAGTATGTGTTAAGCTTAGTGTTGTTATAATTTCTAGAAATATTATATGTAATTTAATATACATACATACATATGTATACATTATATCAAAACTAGAAAAACGAAAGCAAATTATTCAAAATTCTTTGTTCTCAAATATAATGCACACTTCGTCGTGTTACTAATGAATACTCAAAACTAAGATAAAGAATACTATATGTAAATCTTCCACAGATTTCAATGCGTTAAAGCATTAAATAAACTCTATGATTATTACAGATGGCGCTAATGATGAAAGAGAAAGCTATAAGAGATCAAATAGCCGAGAAATTCACCTTGGAAATAAAAACTATTGAAATGAACTGCGCCCGCCGTCTCAAGGAAATGGAAACTGAAAATCTGAACACCGTGACGAAATTAAAGGAACTTTTAGAGAGGAAGGCTAAGGAGGTCGACACTATGAAGGAGTTTATATTATCAGAGAGGTCAAAGGTCACGCAAATATTAGAAGCTAAGGAGAACGAAATATCAGAAATAATTAAGGACCACAATCAACTGCAGAAACAATTGAACAACGCTAAAGATGAGGTCCTAGAATGGAGGCATACAGCTGAGAAATATTTAAAGAGATTAATGAGATTGGGGTCTGTAGAAGATCTTCTGAAAAAGGAAAAAGAAGATTGGAAACAGAAGAACTCATCAAGCACCAAGGAGTGTCAGTCGTTGAAAAATATGGTGGTCGAACTACAGTCTAATCTGACGCAAGTTGAGGAGAAGTACGCTAAAATACAATCCGACCACCAGATATTACAGGAGAAATATAAAAACGCTAAGAGAACGGTATTGACTTATAAGGTAAGGAATTACACATAATGATAATCATATGTGTCATTACTGCAAGTTTGCATTAACCAACTAATTATGGGGTACTTCCAGTTTTTCCTTATTAATCTTCACTCACGACATGAAGTAGTATCAACGTTGTTTAGGTAGTTTATTAATACTAGCACTGACTTATAAGAAATAAATTACCTATTTCTTCCCAGCAGTGGCGGCTGTACCTTAAGTGCACTCGTGCGCTAAACCACCAATTCAAAAGATTTAAAAATTACAAAATATTTATTCATCTTTATTTTTAAATTACCATTTTAATATTTATTTTTTAAACATATAATAACGTATAAAAAATGAAATTTCCTAATATTATGGTCAAAGAGGTTGAGCGCTTTACTTAACTCATATCGTGCGCTTCGGCGAGTGCACGAGGACTGCTAATATATCTTGTATGAGATACGCATTAATACGCCTGACGCGTGAAACAAAAGATAGTTCATAGAAATGTACCGAGTAATGAGTCGGTTCTCGAGCGCCGCACGAGCGACCGAAGATTACCGAGAGCACCCGATGTATGACGAATTGAGCCATGATTGACATCTCGTTATGTTTTGTTGCATTTTCTAATTTTAATATTTTAGTAAAGTGCACCACCGGTTCGATTACCCACCGGTCGCCACTGCTTCCCAGTAATATTATAAACATGATAGTGTGTAGACATGGGTGGACGTTTCTTATTTTTGTACCTAAAAAGTACTGTATGGATTTTAACTTAACTTTACGGCAATGTAGCTTACATGTCAGAGTTATATGCAGAATGTAATTCATTCCTTCCTTCAAAGGAATTCCAATGGGAATAGGTTATATTCTTTGTGTAGTGTATAAAGTCACGTGGCACCTAATAGATGTCGCTGTTTATTGTTTAACATGTTATATTGTATTAACATATTTTCTTCCTTTCTCTTTGAGCCCAAGTTTATAAAATTCATGTGCAATTAATAATAGATTCATATCCTTGACTAAGGAAATATTTTTATATAAATTCCTTATTAACTTATTATAAAACTTTTTACTAGGATTATATGACTAAAAAGGATACTCACATAAACAACGAAATGAACAGGATACAAGACGAGTACAGGAAAATATTTGTTAAACTGCAAAATCAAATAAACTATTACGTAAACTGTAGAGTTCAAGAAGAAAGGAAAATCAAAGATAAAGGACAGATGTCACAAACAAAAGCACCGATAGATGTAAGTCTAAAAAAATATATACATATATATATAAGCAAAACATCATACTTGATTTTATTTTTATATATTTTGTTATCTTCAGTACACTGAGAAGATGAAAGAGTTATCTGATGACTTTGCTCGTCTTGCCCGAAGCAACTTCAAGGAATCTCCCGACAGTCCCAATTGACACAGGATATTAGTTATAATGGTTAATATTCATTCATAGCAGCAACATATTTAATTGTGTTTAGTACGAGTTTCTCTTGTTAACTTTAATGCTGACAGTTTAAAAAACATCAAATAACACATACTTTTACATAATTATTGAAAGAACAATTTATTTTAAAGGTATTATGTAATTTCTACCAAGTTATACCATATTTCTATTAAAGCTATTCCAAAGCAACTGTTAGAAGCAAGAATGAGATAAATTAGTTTTGATTAATTAAAATTATTATTATCTTGTTACTTGGTGATAAAAATATCTGTAATGAGAACAACAAATCTTTCTTCCCATTCAAAGTGAATTTCTTTTCCTCTTATTCACTTTTTTTATTTTAAATATATTTCTACCACTTTAAAAAACATGCTTGGAAATTCTTTGATACTTTTAAAGTCATCTCCGGTATGTTCTTTCATCAATAAAGTTAAAGATAAAATAATCTCTTCATATTACTATACAGTACTTGAGAATACATTTTCCTACTCTCATGCACTGATGTTATTCAAGACTGGTGCTTATGGTTTCAAATTGCACAAATTTTCATTTATTTATATCAAATTTGTAATTTCTAATAATCATTTTGTTACGAATCGTCATAAAATTTATACATTTCATTTAAAACAGTATTATTGATTAATAACATTCTGATTCAATTTATTTATAATTTTTATAAAAGACAATAATTCCACTGATCTCTGTCCGTCCCAATGTTTCTATTTTACTCTTAAAATTTCTAAAACTACATAAAAAAATGTTATACATTTATAGTTACAATAAGAATGATTGACAAACCAAGCCATTGTTGACTACAAAGGGTGCCTTATAAGTTTTAAGTATGATAAGGACACCACGATTTTTAATGTACAAATTAAATTTAAATTGTTTTAATTACTACTTAATTATTTATAGTATTTGTATATTTTTATTCTCTAGTAATATTTTTATAATGTGATAGACATGTAAATATAGACAGTATTAAAAGTTCAAACATTGCCATCACATTCCTAGAAGATTCCAGAAATAGTTTGTTTTTTTTTTATTGTATCGAATTTATTGAGTATTGCTCAAACGTTGTTACTATGATAACTATATTGTGTTGTTTATCTATGTTTTGAACTATTTGCATTTTTATTAATTGAATCGTTACTTAATTATTAATATGTATTTTTTAATGTATGTAAATAAAACTAATTGAATTATGTGTGACTTATTTCTTTATGTAATATTTTGAGGGGACAAAAGGCATTTTCGCGACATTACAAGCTACATCCTTTCCCCGGATGTTTACAAGTAATTCGTTTCCGACTTTTTTCAATTCTTCCTTAACATATCCCATTGCTACGTTCCCGCCAAGCGAGGGACTCGGACAGCCGCTTGTCACTTTGCCAATGACATTTCCGGTCACATCTTTCAATAGCGCGTCTTTACGAGCCGGTGCTCCCCCCATCATTCTTATACCGACCCTCCTTTTGCTTACGCCATCTTTAATTTGACGTAATATAATATCAGCTCCTGGAAAATCAGCGCTTTGACGACGGTTCTTAGATATTAACCAAGTCAAGGCAGCTTCAACAGGAGTAACAGTTTCGTCGATGTCGTTTCCATATAAACATAATCCGGCCTCTAAGCGGAGGGAATCTCTTGCTCCCAGCCCAGCGAGTTTCACATCTGTAGACTCCAGTAAAGCCTCGGTTACTTGAACGGCTTTATCTGCTGGAATAGAAATCTCTACACCGTCTTCACCGGTATAACCACAGCGAGTTACTCTACATTCAACCCCCGCAACCGAACCAATTCGGGATGTCATAAATGTTAGTTCCTCTAATTGTAAATTCGTAATAGCTTGCACAGCAGCCGCTGCTTTCGGCCCCTGCACAGCTATTAAAGCTCTTTGTGTCACATCCCACATACTAACTTTTACATCTTTGCCTTTCTTACGATACAATTCCGAAGTTTCAAGCATATGTTGTGTGTCCACTTCTAAACGACCAGCATTTGAAACAATGTAGAGTTGGTCTTCTTTGACTTTTGTTACTATAAGATCATCTATAATTCCGCCATCTTTATTTAGGAACACAGTCAACGAGCTGGTTCCATGTGCCATTCCTTTTAAGTCGACTGGGCATATTGATTCAAACCAAGATACGCAATCCTTTCCGTACACATTAGTTTGTAACATATGGGAAACATCAAATATAGAAGCACTTTTTCTTGTAAACAAATGTGATGCGGACACACTCAAGTCTGAATATTGTACTGGTAAGAGGAACCCTGCAAAATCAACCACTTTGCCGCCATACTTTTGGTGCAAATTATACAAGGGAGTTTGTTTGGGTTTACTATCTCCGTCACTGAAACACCGAGCGTGTATATTAGAAAATCCAAATCGATTGACTAATAAATATTTTTTCGAAATAAATGTTACACTTCTTGAACACATTTTTGTAGAATGGAAACAAGAACTAAATGGGGTTTCTTACAAATAATAATTATCACAATGATAGTTCAAGGGTCAGAGAGTCGTTACAACATTTATCAACTATGTAGACAACTATAAGTATTTCTCAATTCACCAATTTCACTGACGATCTAATTATAATTAACTAAATTAAAAAAAAATATATGTTTTATGATATCAATTAAAAACTTTATATCTAACTTCTGATCTCATTCGTATATATGAAGTTGGGTTCCAATTTAATATGCAATAAAAAATGTTAAGTTTTTTTTATCAAATAAATGTTATAAGAAATATATCGTAATAACCATTTCAACCCCACAAATTTGGTTTTAGCTCTACACTGACCTCCTATACATCAAAAAAATAAAATTAGGTCTTTTTAAAAACGAAAGGTAAGCCCTAAACAATGTTCCATTTCAATAGACTATTTGTAACTTTGGTCTCTGAGAAATATTGCAATAAAAATCCGTAATTTAAAATCTTAAACAATAATCTTAAAATAATATCTAATTATAAAGTTGAAATCTAGAATATAATAAAACAAAAAATACCAAACTAAATTATTTATTTTCTATTCACAACTACTGTTTATAATTTTTAAATACTCTTCATGGTTCAGTAGCTCCTTTTTCATTGAGTCAGAAATTGAAATACTTGATAGCATAATAGCTATAAATCCATCAGAATTAGGGCTTTCTCTTAATAGTTTGGGATTTTTCACCAGTTGTTCATTGATCTCAACAAGAAAACCCTTCATTCCGGCAGGTATTTCAAAACTTGTGTCATCACTCCATTCAACTTTACAGATGGCTGTATTTGGGGTCAACATTTGACCTCCTTTCTTGCCTTTGCCTTTAACAGTGTTCGACAATCTATCTACCTTACCGATAGTAAAGTTCAATTTGTAGTCATCATCTCGTTTAAAAAAGAAATGACTAGGAGCGAGGCATAGTAATGTTATTCTGTTTGAATGAAACAACAACATAATATCATTGTTCTTAATACCATTCACATTGAGTATATATCTTTTACTGAAGTATCTCTCTGTAAAGGATTTGTAAATAGATTTTTCATTGAGGTCTATCGATTCCAGTATGTTGTACTCCATTATTATTATATAGTATAATACGTAGTCTACAAGTTTTCAGTATTCTGAGATTGTGCTAATATTCTGGCTCTCCTCTCAGCATGTTTTCTTACTGCTTCGTCATTATTTGCTTGTTGTCGTCGTATACGTTCGGCTTTCAAGCACCTTCTCATATCCCGATCATAGTCATTACAATAGCCCATGAATTTTCGGAACGGATGCTAAACAAAATAATGCTTTATAGTTATGGTTACACATACAATAATTAAACTTAAGGTAAAAGAAGTTGCTCACCTCAACATGACAGTCTTGTAATAATTTAATCAAAACATTGCATTCTTGAGTGTGTAAATGAGGTGATAAATCTGTGTGCATTCAGAGTTTTTTTAAATTAAATTATTACCATATATTATATAAAGCTCTAATCTATAACCCTATCAACACGATGAAATGTCCAAAGAAAAGATTTCATGAATATGTCATGTGTCAGTTTCTTTATGTCAAAATTTTAAATAATTTCATAACTAAGGGCCTCTTAGTTCGTTCATCATCTCTAAGTAAAACGTAGTGTAGCTAGTTACTTACATACTTCCCAATTTTATATTCTTTAATGCAAAGTCTGAAAAACTCATTATTTGAAGAGCTCTTTACGACAGTAGAAAGAGTTAATTAATGGCTAGTCACAAGTAACTTCACTCTTCAATTTCATAATTTTCGAGTAGCTCTTATGATATGATTAATAAGCCCATAACTTAAATGGTACCTACTTCGAACCGAAATGAAACATTTTCATACAATTAGGATCTACTTGCGAGTTATGTAAATTAAATATCAGACTAGAATCATGAATATGTTAATCTATTGTCTAAAAATATAAAAAAAAATTAAGTTGACTATATTCCCTTATTATTTAAAATAATTTGGAGGAGTATCCAAAACTATTGCAAAGTTTATACTTCTTTTAATTTTATGCGTATAATTTATGAAGAAATTAAAAAGAAAGGTCTATGATCGTATTAGACTAAAAACAGTACAGCATATATTTGCTGAAATTTGAAAAATAAAGTTCATTGGATTCTTGAACAAATGGTACGTATGACTTATTGCGTACGCTATATATTTAACGGGTAAATTATTACTTATAGTTTTATTTTCACTCGTGAAGTTGATCCACCATCAGTGGCGTAACTATACCGTTCGAGGCCCGTGGCAAATTCGTCGAATGGGTCCCTCCCCCCAATATAAAAAAATGAACCAACAATAATAATATTTTTTATTTTATAATACTTATTTATACACTTTTACTTGCAAGAGTACAATAATAAATCACTAAGTTAAGTAGGTACATACAAACTTTATAATTATACTTAGGTACTTGATTTTCTAATAATTCACTTTAAAATAAAAATACCTAATTATAACCCTGGGTGTTAGAATATATTTGAGTTAATTATCCAAAATAACTAAGTATTAATATTTAACACTCATGAATTCTGAAATGAAAAACTTTGAAATACCATACATACATATATGTATATACGCCTATGATATTTTTCTCCTTAATCAAAATAGGTACAACAAAAATTTACAGACGGTAAAAGCATTACACCTTCCAAACTTCTGTTCATTTGATTAAAGTACATAGAAAAGCAAATTCTTGATCAATTTCATTTAAATAAATATTAATATTATTATATATTAAGTAATTTGTAATATGTGTATATATATATATCTACATATTATAGTCAGTGGTGGGCCCGCCTCTCATGCACGAGGGCGCGGGTTCGATCCTGGCAAGTACCAATGTGATTTTTCCGAGTCTTATGTACTTTATAAGACTATTTAGACATCGCTGATTAATGCGTTCCCAAAAAGGGTTGATGTCAGGCAGGCGGCCGGTCATAAAAACAATTAGACAAAACTATTCACAACATGTAAGGCAGACCCTGGCTAAAGCTGGGAAATTGCCAGGCAGAAGAGTAATATATATATATGCTATGCTTCATTCGCAATGTAATTTATTTTAATAAAAAACATTTTTCTTAACAATAAAATGTCACGCGTAGATGTTGCATCCACAAAGGTCAGCCAGTAAATACATTTTTTATCCAGAGTTTCTGTATTCTTAGTAAATTCTTGTACAAGTTTTTCTCGTTCGTGTTATAATTTATATGAGAATCGTGTTTTTTTTTGTACCTACATATATTAAAGATTCATAACCGGAACTGGATTCAAATATTGTATTGTGTAATGCTGAGTAGACGCTGCGAGGGTTAGGCCCTGTTTGTTTTTAGATAGAAGGGAGTTGGTCGATCAGTTGGACGATCAGTTGGTCGATCAGTTGGTCGACCAGTTGGACGATCAGTTGGACGACCAGTTGGACGATCAGTTGGTCGATCAGTTGCCCAACCAGTTGGACGATCAGTTGGTCGACCAGTTGGACGATCAGTTGGTCGATCAGTTGGACGATCAGTTGGTCGATCAGTTGGTCGATCAGTTGGTCGATCAGTTGGTCGATCAGTTGGTCGATCAGTTGGTCGATCAGTTGAACGATCAGTTGGTCGATCAGTTGGTCGACCAGTTGGACGATCAGTTGGACGACCAGTTGGTCGATCAGTTGGACGATCAGTTGCCCAACCAGTTGGACGATCAGTTGGTCGACCAGTTGGTCGATCAGTTGGACGATCAGTTGGTCGATCAGTTGGTCGATCAGTTGGTCGATCAGTTGGTCGATCAGTTGGTCGATCAGTTGGTCGATCAGTTGGTCGACCAGTTGGACGATCAGTTGGTCGACCAGTTGGACGATCAGTTGGACGATCAGTTGGTCGATCAGTTGGTCGATCAGTTGGTCGATCAGTTGGTCGATCAGTTGGACGATCAGTTGGTCGATCAGTTGGACGATCAGTTGGTCGATCAGTTGGTCAACCAGTTGGACGATCAGTTGGACGATCAGTTGGTCGATCAGTTGGTCAACCAGTTGGACGATCAGTTCGAGGATCATTTGGTCGATCAGTTGGAAGATCAGTTGGTCGATCAGTTGGACGATCAGTTGGTCGATCAGTTGGTCGAATCAAACAAATAATTAATTTCTTAGTCTAACCTCAAAACAAACTCTCATTGACTTCCTGGTACTTAACAACGCCATCTGCTGTTGTGTCGTTAAGGCAATTAGTAAAAGCAAGTAGCAAAAAGTAGTATCACTACTAGCCACTAGATGTCAGGAAGAGTCATATTTTAAACGACAAATTTTTGTTATTCTTTTTTACGTAAAATAACATTTTCTAAATGATTAATGATGACAATAATCCCTAGCTAGATCGATTTATCGCCATCGTTTGAGCCGATACCGAGATTCCAATAATATATAAATATATATACAAGAATTGCTCATTTAAAGATATAAGATATTGCTATAGGTTTTGTTTTTTTATATATATTTTTTGTAAATCAATCCATTGATATCTTTAGGTTATAGAAGATAAAGAATCAATTCGGGAGCAATGTGAACAGTTGGGGGATCATTTTATATCTTCTCAAGTAAGTTTTTTTTTACCTCATTCTTATATTAAATAATGAACAAAAGAAATATGTTGTTATTATTTTTTTTATAATTGTTATTAACGTAATTCAATTTTGTTCATTCCTTATTAGTCATTGTGTATAGTTACAAAAATATAAATATAAACATCCACTAAGGGTGTAAACTAATATGTTTTCAATAATTCATTTCTTCTTTTACACGCGGGTTTAACGTCACGATCAATTTATAAAATTTTTTGAATTTAAAGTAATGGTCGATTTTTATATTATTCTAGTAGGTTTCATATGTCAATCAATATTCATTACTTATTTATCTATTTTTGCAAACATCTCAGATAATTTTCTCATTAATTACTTATACACACCCATTAATTATACTTGTAACAGGAGATTATGCACATTGTAAGTTAAAAACTTTGTGAAAAAAAATCCTATTCATATAACAGAATAAAGAAAAAAGGTTATCCATGCCGTATGCGACGTAATTAAAATAAAACAACAATAAATATATTTTATTTTTATATTTAAAGTATTCACATGGTGTCTCATTCTAAACGAATTACAAGTTTTTTAAAAAGTTTGAGACTGCAATTTTATTACTTAGTCCTAGTGCTCCAGGAACCTCAACAAATAAATAAATAAATAAAACATAATAAATAATACAACAACATATTTCTCTAACAAACTTTAACGTAATGACTAGATTAATATGATTTTGGTATTCGTAAAAAAAAATTGTTAATAGGGTAGTCTTGTATTTTCTAATTACGCTAAAAACACGAAAGGATTTGTCTTAAACATAACATCCGACACATTCATGACAGGGAAGGAACAAGCGATAAGCAAATAAATATCAATACAAATGAATAGAAAATGCGTATTTTATACCATTAATATGTTAAGACGCCCAATTAGATAAACAAATGCATAACGTGCCCAAAATAATCGTCTAAACAAATACGCTAGAATAAGAAGCGGGTGTTATGTTGATGTGGGGGGGAGCGATTCAACTTTTGGGCATTCCCTGGGGGGTGGCAGTTTCTACCATCTTCTTGTATTTGCCGACCAGCTCGGGCAGGTCGTAGGCGATGGCCACGTCCAGGCGATTGATGGGACAACCGCGGAAATAAGTGCACGTGGAGGAGAGCTGTTGGAACTCGTACAACGGGTTCAGACGGAAGAAGTCCCGGTAGGTTTCAGGATCGGGGAGGTCGTACCTGGATAGGGTAAATATATATAGAATAAAAAATAAAGAAAAAATTGTTTTTTTATAGATATTACACTTTTTTGATTAATGATAATATCATTTTATTCAATACTAGCTTTCCGCCCGCAGCTTCGCCCGCGTGGAGTTCAGTTATATCGCGTTTCCAAGAGAACCTTTCAAAAGTCTGGCATAAAAACTATCCTACGTTCTTTCTCAAGGTCAACTCTATGTCTGTACCAAATTTCATAAAAACCAGTTCAGTGGTTTAGGCGTAAAGGCGTAACAGACAGACAGTCAGACTGACAGACAGACAGAGTTACTTTCGCATTTGTAATATTAGTAGGGATTAGTAGGGATTTTACCCAAACAGTTTAACTTTGAATATTAGTCTAAACGTTGCATGTTTAAACTCAATACATATGTCTCATCCACATATATTTATTTTTATTTCTTCTGAAGAAAGTTACGAAATAAATGTTATAGAAAGATTCTCTACCTTGATATATTGGTAAGTGTACTGAGTCCCTCGTAGATGTGGTAGTTCTGTGGGTTGTCAATAATCGCGTCGGAGATGACCTTCTTGTTTCCAAATATTGTCTTGTGGTTGTAGTACGTGGTCAAGTAACAGTCAACCATCTTAGCGTGGTTCCTCACGCGAACCTGGGGAAAAGTAACAAGACATGAAAAATTTGAAAATATTTAATATAAGTACTTTTACGATTAACCTAAATGCAACTGATTATACTAGGGTATGAAAAGCTAGTGACAATATAAACAATCCTTACATATAAAAGCTATTTAATATTTTGATAATTAAGATTTCTTAACAAATATACATTTGATGATGATTTATTATTAGTTATTATATGAAGGCATGACTAACATTTTTCATATAAGACCTATAATGAGATCTAAGACTTTCACGAGTATTAATTTCAATGAAACTATGTAATATTTTTGATGATCACGGTTGCTGAAACGTCGGGAGTATGTTGTTTTTTTATAAAAATAAAGCACTCGTAGTATATCCGAATAATATTAGTTTTATATAAGACCTAGTATGGATGAATAATCTATTATAGCCCTATGAAGTCGTGGTACCCTAGTGGTTAAAGTAACGCCTCTAATGTATGAGGGCGCGGTTTTGAAATCTGGCAAAAACCAATATGATTTTTCTTTACCGAGTCATATGTACTTTAAGTATTAAGACACCATTGACAAACATCGACTTATAATTTCAAATTACAAGTTTGGAATCACCAACACGTCTTGAGCAAACGTGGTGATAATGTTCAAACCTTCTCCATGTTAGAAAAGGCCTTTGATCAGGATGAGCTTTGATAGGACGTTGATAGTCCTAGTATAAGTCAAGTTTCTCACCGCGAATCTCCTACAACTGGCTATCTTGTTCTCTATCCTCTTGTCAATGGCTTGTCTTAAGTCTCGCAGTAGTTCCCTCTCCTGCGCCTGCAGTAACCGGGCGGGCGCTCCGGCCTCCAGCGGTAAAGACCACAGCGACACCGTGTACATGACCGGGGGCTGCGCGGAGCTCATCAGCGGCGAGATGTTCCAGATCAACGCGCTCTGTACACGCATCAGCTCCTCCGGCTTCACGGTGTCCGCTTTGTTCAGGACGATACGCGTCTGTGGGAATAATATAAATGTATGTACAGATATAGATTGTCTGAACTGTATTGACGAACCACTATTGCATTTACATACACACACACAAAAAGTCTGAGAGAATTACGTAAATGCATGTCCACATTTATAAACAAAAAAAAATGTAATATGTACACAATACACACAAATATAACTGTGATTGGTCATTCAGTCGTTAGTTGGACACTAACGTTTATATTAACGTTTGAGCACGCATAGTTCGATCGCAAAAGTACAGTCAGCATGTCAATTAAAAGCATCTTCAGAGTCATGTGAATAGAATGTCATTTAAAATTCCGAGATAAGACATCTTTATTATTAGTTGCTATTTCTGGCGGTTTAGTTTATACAACTTTATTTTATTTTACTAACAGGCCAGTTCATTTTATATACAGGAATTCTTTATTTTATACCTACTAGTTATATTTTTATCACACAAATGCTGCTTAGGTCTTATAAGATTAATCTTTTATATGAAAATACGTGTTATTGTTTTACAAACCTGTGATTCTCTGCCTTTAAGCTGGTCCAGGATGGCTTCTGTTTCCGGTCCGACGTCCAGCTTGGAAGGATCGTACACGAGGAATATGATGTCTGCGCGGTCAATGAACCATTGACACGCGTCGTTGAAGGGAAACACTCGCGATACCTGCTTCCTTACTTCTAGGATGCCGGGTATTTCAACGATGTTTACCTACAAAACAAAGCTCGATATATAGAGATAAAACTTTCTCGAGTATTCATTTAAATGGAACTAATATATTTCAGATTACTACGCGTATTTTACTATTTTATAAAACTACATACTCCCGTCGTTCCGGTTACTTTTTAGCGGCAGACGAGACGTCTTTTCGTAGTGTAATCCGTAAAATATTAGTTTCATTTAAACTCTCGATATAACATATCTAAAAACAAATATGTATTGTGTCTTTGATCACCTTTTCCAGTAGTTTACTGGGGTACCTCAGACCTCTGAGTCGTTCTTCCAAGCCCTGTCCAAACTTCTGTAAACCGGAGAATGTCCAGTCAGCTGCTAGTTGAGTTCCATCCAGTACTTCTGGATTTTGTCCGTGCATTAATATATTGAAGTACGCTGGGGATGGCTCGGCACCTATAGTACAATAACACGAATAAAAACTAGTACAAATAATAATATTAAGTAGACTTTTAACGTTTTACCTGTACGTAGAGACCATTCAGTGAACTCTATTCCTGTCAGATAATTCAATATGGAAGACTTTCCGCCGCTCCACGGTCCCATGAAGAGGACCAATGGTTTTGAGAATATTTCTGGATCGCCGAAATGTCTGTTACTCAAATCTCTGTATTTGTACAACGCTTCAAGTGGCTTGATCGAGTTCTCGTAAAGCCTTTTCAGATCTCTGAGGACAATGTCGGCAGATTTCTCAATAATCATCTCAGACTCGCTGGCTTCTTCATCTAATCTTAGGATTTGAATGATATGGTCGCGGGAGCGTAAGTTCTCTGGAATTTCTCCTTCCTAAAAAGTATGGATATATGTTACTTTACCACTAAAAAAATTCAAATTTTTGATAAATCATGTGCCTTTACTGTAAATGGCATAATAAAAGAAAAGATTCAATAATTGTTTGTACTATAATTAATATTTTGTACTATTTTTCACTTACTAAGAGCAGGTCCTCTTCCGGAGCACCTTCTTCCTCGCTTTCTCCTTCTCCAGTGACCTCGGATTCTTCACCGCTATCTTTTTCAGCCTCAGATTCGCCAGCAAGTTCTTCTACAGATTGTTTCTCTTCCTCAGCAACGTCTTCCGAAGATTCAGTCTTTTCAACAGATTCTTCTTTTTCCGCAGATTGAACTTCTTCCGCAGATTTTTCTGCTTCTGCAGATTCATCTTCTTCCACTGCTTTCTCTTTTTCTTCATCGGACTTAGCATCCTCTTCCGTATCTTCTTTAGATTCCTCGTCCTGTTTTTCTTCTTCTTGGGAGTCGTCTATCTTTTCTCCCTCTATTTCTTCAGACTCAGCCTTTTCTTGAGATCCATCGTCGTCTTCACTTGTTTTTTTGTCTTCATCACTTTCAGCTTCAGCATCACCTTCTTCAGAAGCATCAGAAGATTCCTCTGCCTTTTCTTCTGACTCAGCTTGTTCTGTGCTCTGGTCTTCTGCCTGCTCAGCTGAGTCTTGGTTGTCATCAGCGCTTTCAACACCAACTTCACTTGATTCTTCTTTAACGTCTTTTTCCCCACTATCATCTTCCTTTTCTTCATTGGTGTCTTCAGAATCTTCTTTGCTGTCTTTGGAATCTTCTTTACTTTCTTCGTCATCGATTACTTCGCCACTTTCTAATAACAAGTAAATAATGTTATACTATCAGGACTAGACGTAAGAGGATTAATACCAACAATTAATACCAAAATTCTTTTTCTAAACAGAATCAAATACAAATTTTAAAGTGTAACTTAATATATACCTTTTTCGATTTCTTTGTCATCAGCAGATGCTTCTTCTTTGCTGTCTCCGCCGTCCTCTTGACTCTCATCTGCTTGTTGATCGACGTTTTCAGCACTTTCGTTGTCAGCTTTGTCCTCCACAGATTCTTCACTTACAGGACTTTCAGTGTCGTCGTAAGAGGCTTGAGAGACATAAGGTTCATCTGCTACTTCCACGGAAGGAACATCTCCTGTTTCTTCACTCTCAGTATTCTCTTTACTGCCGTCTGAATCTTCCGCTGTTTCGCCTATTTCTGCTGATGTTTCTTTTGTTTCGTCGTCTATACTTACTTCACTAGATTCGAGTATTTCTTTAGAATCTGAAAATATTCATTATTTATTTATTTATAAAGAAATTTTATATTTTTAATCCTGTTAACCAATATCTGCTCTTGTTTAGGATAAACTTAATATTGCACACTGTTATACTTATGTCAATCATTTGGGTATTTCGTACTTTAAAATAATTTTGATACAATTTTTAGCTAAAATGTTGTCGGAAATAAAATTATATGTTATGAATCATTTATTAAAATTATTTATTTATTAATCTACACTTTATTTTTAATACATTTTTATCCGAATAACCACTCCGTATGGTTGGCAATTGGCCTACAAAAACGATTATGCAATAACTATAACAGATGCTTATTTTGACTACCATTTTATCACATATGATATTTAAGCGGTTATACGTAAGTCTTGAATTACTGTTTTCAATTACCTAAAAGACCTCACTATGATTATGACTATGACTAGAAAATACTTACTTTTTTATTTAAGTACTTTTTAAAAATGCTATGCGAAATTAAATAACATTACTGTCCATTAGGAGGGGAAAACACAGTCACTACTTTAAACTTAATTCTAAAATATCTTTAAGTCAAAGCCTTTATTCGTTATTGGCTTTAAAATTCAAATCATTTGGTGATAAATACAAATGTTAAAGGACTTTGTATAACACCTATTCACTTCTTAATTAAACGCGAGTACATATTAAATGAACATAAAAATCTACCTACATTCAGTCGAAACTGATTATTCAGTTTTAAATTTACCAAAATATTACTTCCTTCAAACTTTTCTAATACTTATCTCTCTATAAATTACATTATTTTATTGCGAACAGTTATTATGATAGAAGAAAAATTTATTAAATCTTAAATTACACTCTACACGAAATGTTAAAATAAAATAATGAATGGTCTTAGTTATACCGACCGTTAAGAGCTAAGTCGAATGATTCAAGGTCTCCTGGGAATAGAAAACTAGAATAAGTTTTCTTAATTAAATATGTTTTAAAACCGTGAGATCATCAAAGCTTCCGTTGCAATTCACATTTACATAAATAAATCGAAAAACGTATTTGTTCGACGTTTCTACGTCTTTTGTGTTCCCGGGTCTTTAATTTAAATTGATGGGTAGGTTAAAAATAATTTATGAATAATATCTATCCTAACCTTTATTTAAAATACTTCTGCTCTAGATTCTTTTTTTCAAACTGCGTTGAGTTTTTAGATATCTTTACAACGTATTGCATTTTCAAAATAAAGGCTTTACTCATTTCAAAAGTACCAACAACAATTTTGGTATCTTCAAAAAAAGATTAGGTATAGTGAATTCACCACTTACGAACTTATTTCCATCTTCTAACGGGTGGAATGACAGTTAAGCACTATCCAGTCGAATTAAAAGAAAAACATCTTACCGTTGCAGAAAAATTTAAAAATATTAATCTTTATACTTCTTGTTCATTTCGTTGATATATACTTTTATAATTAATATATCTTTTTTGTTTCTCACCTGGTTCTGTATCCCCTGATTCGAGTTCTTTAAGTGCTTTTTCAATGTATGGACGGCATTGTGATTCTGAAGGAATGTCGTCGTCGGCTGAAACAAAATAATTTACATCAAAGACAGATTAAAAAAGTTATACATTTATATAACAGATTAGATAATAGTTATCAATGTTTGTTTATTAATTAACTATTTGTCGACTGTTTCGAAAATGCTACAAAAATAATTTCTTTTACTTAAGGAAAGTATAAATTTGATATGGAAATCTTTCATATGAAGAAATATATATACATAACATATAAAAGAACTTCTACCATAGCTTATATATAATCAACCAATAATTATAATTTCCATATTACATACAAATACAATATTTTTTTAATCAATCTAATGCTCTTGTTTTCATTATTATTTTGTATGCTTTATAATCTGTGAGATATGATTCTCACATGTTTTCCAAAAAAGGAAACTTGAGTGCCCCTCAAGTTTTTGTCCATATAAAAAAATAGGTACAAACACAATGTAGGTACATACGCTACAAACCAGACATTACGTCCCTACACACGTCAATACACTAACTTAATTATATATTTTTTATCCAAATGTAGTTAAAAAACCATTAAGAATTTTTTAGAATATGTAACAAGTTTTGTTTCCAAAAAAATCTTTCATTGTCCAGCAGTAAAATATTTTGAATCTTTGTAAGAAATGTAAAAAGTTCATCATATTCAAATACTTGTTACAAAACTAGGAAATAAAAATACTGTGCTTATATCCATTGATTGAATATATAGATAAGTAATGATATCACCCCAATGACAAAAAAAGGGACCACAGTCATGTTTAAATTCTGGAATTGTTTAAGAATATTCATCTTGGATATCAGCCATGGAAAACAGAAGTTAAAAAAGTTAGGTTCATTCAGAAAACTTCTAAAATAACTATTTTACGAAAGATTTTTTTATTATGAGCCGCTGTCAGCTCAAACAAACTGATCAAGGGCGATTCACTATACCGGATCTAAATTAAGGTGAGATTATTTTCAGGCTATTTTTAAAAACGGTGACCATTAATTTTTTGTTTGTCTTTTACCTATAAAATATTTTAATATCTACTTATAATAACACTAGTGTTGTAAGTCTTTTTTAATGATAGCGTAAGTAAAATTCACATCATAAAATAAAATATAATCATTACGCTTTTACGAAGAGTGTGTTTATTTTTATTCTATAATAAACAGTGTCCAAAGTTAAGATAAACTTTCAGCGCTATAAAGAAGGCTGAAGTGATTTATTTACTTTGAAGATATATGTTACGATTATGTTCCTACATATTTATTACTATTGTCAATTACATATATATTTCATTGTTATTTATATTCTCTGTTACATTGGTACAAACTACAAACAAAAGCTAGGCCAGTCTATTTTAGATTTACGATTTACTTGATGCTTTCTTCTTGCCATCCGTTCGACCTAAATGATTGGCCTTGTTGCATTCCGCTCTTTAATAGTTCTTCGTATGATTGTCATTGACAAACTAAATATAAAATAACGACATAGGCGTTGATGGCTTTATTTATTATTTACATCATTAGAAACAATATTACGTGATCGTAAAATCAAAAATCTTTCAAGCCAGGTATGTCACGTAAGATTGTTTCTCATTGAACAATATCTTATTTATGTCAGTAGCTGATATTTTATATAAAATATAAAACATTGTCTTTAGTGTCATATATACTAGCAGTTATGTAAAAGTTATGAAGTGACCTATTTTTGTGCCTCGCTTTTATAATGTCGTCATGATCCTATCGTTTTTCACAAGATGGCGACGCATAACGACAAATCCCTGTATTTCTATTTGCGTAGCTATGCCGATTGGAACGTCTCGCGAGCGAGCGCTCCCCCTGACTTCTGATTAATGTGCACAACTTCACAGTGATGACTGATAATTAAATCATAATAACCTTGATGATCCGTTACACTCATAAGGTTATAGCCAAGAATAGCATACAAACGCGCTTTTTACATAATTTCAGCGCAAGTTCCACCTAAAATAGCCGCGATGCGGTGACGCAGGCTGGCTCCCACACATCCGACCCGGCCGTTCTACTCACCTCTCGCAGCTACCGGGAGCAGAGACACGGCAAACAACATGCACAACATAAACCTCCATAACTTTAATCTCTTGGTCCACATTTTGTTCTGTTCCAGCTACACCGGGCTCTATATCATTTGCACTCACACTCGCGCACCCGATCGGTAGATCTATGGACGCGAATCACAAAACTATATTTGACGTAAAAATTTCACTGCCGAGGCCGGACGCGGAATGCATGCATATGCATTTCGCTTCCCGCTCAAAATTGCGATTAACGTAACTATTCACAAACTAATTACTACAAAAGAAATGTGCAAGTTAATTGAACTGTTTGTGAGTCAGAGTTAATCGCAATTTAAATCGGAACGCAAGACAAACTCTAGTGGAACTATATCCGGAGACAGCACAGCATCGCTGGTCGGAAGGGTACTGAAGAACGCGGCTCCCCGCGTCGAGCTTTCAGATTCAGCGCGCGGCCTCTTGCCAAGCGCAAGGCGCGTACGCATCGCCGTCTTCACGACCGGAACCAGTTGTAAAAGCAACGGTTATTATAAATAAAATCCTAATTCATATCACATTAATGAAATCGAGTTAATTTGAAACACCATAAAGGGTTGAAAAATAAAATTTTGTTCTCGATTTTTCCCGACTTTTTTCCTACTATAGAATTGGAATTCATGATTTCTAATATTTAATATTACACAGTTACGAAAACATTATTGGATTAAACTTAAGTTTATATATAATTATCATTTATAACTCCATTTTGTCATATTAAAAAAATTTGAAGAACCTCTTAAAACAACATCTTAATTCTCACATTAAACGGATAAACAGTTCAATCATACCGTTTATTTCATTCAAATAACGTGATCATATTCAAATGAAAATATATTTAAACAAAACATTAAATAAATATAACGTAAGATTAGTAGAGATTAATTCTAGCCATCAGAATACAATATCAGTTGGCACAAGGCGTCGACCACTCGCTTACACATATCAACTTGGCATTCTCAAAATTGCATCGTTTACACTAGCAACCGAATGCAATTATAAGTCCTATGTCAATACAACTTGTCTTACCAATAACTATTTACAGACTTTATATCGATTGCCAAATACATAATAATTTGTATATATATATTTATCTAGCGATATTGCGAATGGCATTCAACTATTAAATAATCGATTCGAATTATTATGATTAATTTAATATTGATACGTATAACAAATTTTATTGGCACCACTTAATTTAAGATATGAACTAAGTGTGTATTTATTTTTAATTTTTATACAATATTTATAGGTATTCATTACTTTTTAGTGCATATTTACTTAGACACACACGTTTACGTGTGCTGTTGGTAAAATTCATTATGGATGTTATAGTGTAAGTATATTTTAAAGAATAGATTATTAGTACTTATTAAATACCTTAATTTCATATTTTAAGTTTATGTTATAATTTTCTAATTTCAAATAATTTTCAATGGGTACGTCTTATACAAATTATGTGAATGAGAATCATATTATACAACGCTTGAAATAAAAGCTATAAGAAACAGATAAGGAGTGATTTCTTGAGTGAGTGATAAAGATATATAATAAATCAAACAAAACAGTAGAAATTACAGTACAGTCCGTTATAATTAAAAAGTTAAATAAAACTAAAAGTAAATTTGTATCATAGGTACACCGAACTCGACCAACGTACCCGAACTAATAAAGGGTGTGTGATGTCATAATGTGTACATTTTTTCTCGTAGCGCCTAGCTAATACAGGGATTAGACTCTCAATTGATAAATGTTTATATTACATTATAATATATATTAGGAATTATTAATACAGATATTATAATTATAATCAGAATAAATTTATGGTCTTAAAAGATTTTTATAAACCATTTCGTACAAATACTTAATGAACACTGTATTTTTACGTGAAGTTTCAATTACTGAGATGATGAATCAAAAACATAACTTTTTAGTATTGTTATAATCATTCTCATGTTTCTATTTTTATTTTTCTGTGTATTCAAAAGTATTAGATTAATTGTTGAAGATTGACTGATTGAATAGTGCTTTAATAAGAATTGACTCTACAAGATTGTAACTTGAGATGAAGCGGTAGGTAATCTATGCACTATTAAAGTACAAGACTAATTAATTATACTTGAATTGGAGACACCAACATTGGAAATTGAAGGAAACAAAGACATAGGCATTTGCTCTGCGCGAGAGAAAGGAGGAGGCGATTGCAAGGAATAATTGCTTGCACCGAAAGCGAGGAATAACTACAACAAGGGTTTGACCTTTGTTCGCAGAGAAAAATGGTATGAAAGAATTAGATCGTGCCATTCCCTGCACACTATAAAATACCAAGAAGTTGAATGTAGTCTCCAAATTACCAGTTATTATCCCTGGATAACAATAAAAATATCTGTCAATAATTTAAAACATTCAAATTTCATTTAATTTATATAAAAAATATTGTCTTTTTTCTAAGGCCCTTGAATTCTATTACTACTACCGGATATACTATAAAGCATTGAAATAACCCTTCCCTTGCCATCTTCGACTTACACACATGGAATATTCCAAAATCCAAAGGACAAAAATCGAAGTCGAATCATATTTTTGTGCTATAAATTGATTCAAAATCAATCGCTGCTAAATGTCATCTCACTTGCTTGGACTTAGTGGAGAAACATCCAAAAAGGCTTGATGGTGACCACAGCTTGATTAACTCCAATCTCGTCATCAACTAAGAACACAGATGATAAGTACTCACGGTACTCTACAGAATACACTCTGGAGAGTGTGCATAAGAATTACACGATTTTATTCCTACATCCCCTTTCTGTCACCGGACAACGAGACGCTCGGTGGGACGCCATCCTTTCGTTGTAGATCTTCCTCATCTGCATCTGAACGTAGCGACATGTTTCCTCCTTCCTCGTACACATAGCAAGGAATTAAAACAGTCTGTCTGCGCTGTGTTTCCTTCAACTTATAATTTGGGTGTCTTCAAGAAAACGATGAAAATTCTGATACTGAGATTATAGGTTTACCACCTACGACTAATGATTTGTGACAGTCAAGAAGTTTTCAGTAGAAATTAAATAAGAAAGTCTGTCCGAAAGAATTTAGTGTCAACTGTAAAATAAGAATAAGACATCAGAAAACAATAATATTTGACAAAATCAAAATGAAGTTTCATCCTCACAAGCTACAAATCATCCAATAATTGAAGGAAGATGACGTCATAAATGACAAAATTATTATACAAGAGTTGTTATATGGATCTATCTTCTTCACCCACACGGCTAAGCAGTGGCGTGTACACCATAGAGGCAAATAAGCACTGCATCCCTTACCCATATCACAACTAAAACCTATATAGTTTAATTCTTACTTACATACTTTTAATCATTTATTACGAAATACAAATGTTTACATTCTTTTAAAAATGACATTTGATTCGCGATTTGTTAAAAGTGACATTTACATACATACATTGCTAACTGCTAGCGCCGCTATGCAGCCAGAGTGGCGGCAGACACAACTACTCGGTGCTTTTTTTCCTATACAAAGAATCTCAAGGATGATCTCCAAATCTCGTGTTGTATGCAGAATATTTTTGGATGTATTTGTTCAAAACCTATGCATGTGTTTTATTCGAGAAGCACTGCTTCTTTTTTGGTTTAAAATGTCCTAAAAAGTCCATTAATGGTCAAATGATTTTTTTTGCCATTTTTTTAATTATTAAACAACATTTTATACCGGAGGTTACATTTACAGAGCCCACTGTCAGCAGAATGGGTCTACGACACTTATATTTTTGTTTCATATTGTTTTCTTAAGTATAAATTTTACAAGCAGACATCTGGTACTTACAATTATGGTACTCTACTCGAAGAAGGTAGTTAATATTAAGTGATCATCCGAAATAATGTATATCAAAAAGAATTTGAAAAAAAGCACCTAAAGAAAACTTGTGTATGTAATAGAAACCTTAAACTAGTTTAAAAATAGAGAATATTGATTTTCATTCAATTCCTTTTACACCTAAAAAACTTTGTGTTATATATAAAATAATAGTTAATTAATTTAATATTCGCCTTAAGAAAGGCAAATTTGATTAAAACTGTAAAAAAAAATGAAAAACCCAATCACTGCTCTGACTGTAGTGCTAAAACAAAACCTTGTTCTCTATACAAATCTTTGTGGCTGTAAATAATAAGTACATAATGTAACAGTATCTTACTCAGAACTTTATTATTTATAAATTCAATTATAGTAAGTGGACTACAGTAATCACCTTACATTCAATATAGCCAAAGTGGGACCAAAAAAAAACAGTGCAGAAAATAGTATCGTTAATTATAATTATTCATATATGTATACCTTATAGTAAGATTTATGTCTTTTTCATCAAATTTACATAGAAAGGTCAAAAGTATAGAAGTAATGTGTGAAATTATTTTCTTACAAAAGGACATTTATTTATCATTCTATATATATGTTTGAATAAAACTCTTTAAATACTCCACATAATCAATTTTATATTTTTTTGATAAAACAAGATGGTGAAATCATTTGTGTTTTTTAAATATTATGATTGTGTGAGAATGTTTTATAAATTTATACAAAGAACATTGTGTATAAAAGAAAAGGAAAAACATATTATTTATTCTTAAAACTATATTAGAATTAATTGTATGTCTAATGATCTATTATAATAAGTTCATCTATACTCCAATCTTCATAAGAGTGGTCGGGGAGGTATCTTCGTATGATTATGGGAATCTTTCTCTGCTTTAATTCTTTCATTGCAATTTGTAAGGGATCCGTTTCACCTTCAAGTTCCACCATGACGGGAGCGCACATCGCTATTTGCAGAGCTCTCGTCCCTAGAATTAAATTGAACATAGTTAAAATCACTGATATATTGGATGGAAAACAAATTAATAAAGGTAACAGAAAAGAATTGTAAATAGAACACAATGAAAACAATAGTACAATTTAAATTCAAAAGTTTAGATAAAATAAACTTTTCTGTATAGTTGTATCTAACTTAACAAAGAGGGAAAACTGACTGAGAAATCAATTCAAACAGTATATAAAATATTGATTTGAGAAAATGAAAATTTTCATAAAGATAGAAATGTTTGTATGTACATATTTGTTACTGCAAAGGTAGGTAAGGTAAGTCTTTAGTAACAATTGACGAACTAAACAAAATAGCTATAAATATAAAGTTTATTTGGTAAAATTTTCATGAATATCAAATCAAAAAGCGATTAAAATGATTTCTACAAACATAAATGCAATAAATGTACTGAGCTCAATGCATTGAGGTTAGAAGATTTATCAAACATACCTAATACTCTTGCCCTTTCATATTTTGTCATATATCTAGTCGTGATCCGTTTAGATTTCTCTACTCCACCGCCGGCTTGCCCCGGAGCTAAACACTGAACATTATAACCGTCTTCCTCTTGTTCCTCAACTTCTTCTATGTTATTGTCTTCTTCAACAATATCGTCATAATCTCCTCCTCCGTCCTCTCCATCGAATTCCTCGTCCGCCATTAATTAAAATGGATTGGTAATGTATAAAATACAACGATGTGAAACTTGCTTCGAAGTTAAAGCATCAATATTTAGGACAAGTTTGAAACACGGCACAGGAGTTCCAAATCTTAACGTGAGTTTGAAGTTTGACGGCAATAAACATCACGTAGATTATAACTCATATTAAACATTACATTATTTAGTTATACTTCCCCTTATTAAAGAAAATATTGAATTTATAATCGTTTAATTATAAATTAAATTAATTTGAATTAATATTTTTTTTTTTTTATGAAGGTTGTTATGGAAATTGCAAGAGTTAGTATTAGAGTTCAATTTTAAATGAATTGTTAAAAACTTTTATTATTTTAGATTTATAAGTACGTATTTAAGATTTTTAATTGATTTGGATAAAATTGATTGTTTTGTACAATGTATCTTAAAAGACAAAATCATTTTTTTACTTATATTTCAATTGTAGCCTCATCTATTCAAAATTCACGTTCAAAAGTATGAATATTTTGAACGCACTTAAATTTATTATTTATGGTATCTATTTCTTGTCTCTGGTACATATATCGTTTTTCCTTTTCCGGTTCTGCATCGAAGCTGTAACCATGCCGGTGTGTATTTTAATAAATTTTGTCGTTTCGAAGTATTTCTGTGACTAAAATGTGTGATTTTTGTGATTATAAATCACGATACTTCTTGTTATCAACTGTGTTCCTAATGGCCAATAACGCGAACTGTGTGCTAAACAAGATAAACACATGGCACCTTTGACGTCTGATAACTGACACGAAAATGTATTATTCCTTACGAATAAGACACAATAAAATATCTAGTGCTGTTCAATTAAATATATATTTATCGGATAGTTCGAAATTTGAAAGTGCAGTTGGCTGAAATTCTTTTGTGTGTTATATCGCGCAGGCATGAAACTAACCTAAACGTGGTGTATTTCAGCTCGCAATTGATTTGCTGCACCCTTCGCCCGCGTCAGAGAGGAGGAAGCACAAGCTCAAAAGGCTAGTGCCCCATCCTAACTCTTATTTCATGGACGTGAAATGCCCTGGTTGCTATAAAATCACAACGGTATTCAGTCACGCGCAGAGAGTAGTGGTATGTGCTGGGTGTTCAACAATCCTCTGTCAACCCACTGGTGGCCGCGCTAGATTAACTGAAGGTAATTATTATTTGTTCAAAAACTAAGATTTTCATACAAAATGTTCATTTTAATTATGTATCATGTCTGTATGTGCTGAAATTGTATGACTTTAAACATCCCTATAAGTAAATTATATATATCTTAATGACTTAATATCTACATACTACCAATATGTCATTATAAAATTAAAGTGTAAAAATAAACCAACTCATTATAATCTAATACACAATATATAATTAAAAGTTGTGTTCCTTGAACTTTTTATCTGCAACTATAAATAATGCATATATTATTCATTAAAAACAAGCTTATTTATTTCTTTGTCCTATGAAATCTGTGAATTTTAAAATAAATAGAATACTTACATCGACTTGTGCAACAATCGGTACTTCAGTATGTACCATATGACTAATCTGATCGCACAATATTGTGCAACAAATCCATAGCTCTATATAATGCATCAAGTTTTAAATTACATATTAAACTTAAAATTATTTATATTATGGCCGAGTCTGAATTATTTGTTTTTGTAGACCAATATTATTTTTTGATAATATTTTTTCTATGTCAACTCAGATGGCACAATAATATATATACATGTATGTATATAAATATCTTTTATTATATATAATTATTATATTATTCTTTCATTTCCTATCACAGTTATCATATATTCATTGTTTTGTTTTGTTGATCTATAGTTATAATGTTTCATATTATTTACAATTTAGTATACTGATTTTTATATCATTTATATTGGGAATACAAAATTAGTTTTTAACAGCCTGTATTAATAAAAATTATTTGATAATTAATAGTTATTTTAAAAATTAATTAATTGTGTGTATGTTTTGTTTCAGGATGTTCGTTTAGGAGAAAACAACATTAATTTTACCTGGAGAGAGAGCCCTACTTTTAAGATTTGCATTTTATTTTCCAATCGTACGAATGAGTGATATTTTTCTTATTCATTGGATTTGTTAAAGCATTACAAATAAAGGCTTTTTCAAAAGGTAGACCATTTCTTTTATTTTTAAACTATCTTCTATTTATACACTCTTTTATATCTCGAACTTTATTATGTGGATATTTAGGTTTTAATTTATTTGACCTATATGAGTCATAGACATATTTACAAGTGGTGCAATAATTGTTCAGAAACTACATGAACTGCTAACTTGTAATATTATAATTTATAAATTCAATAATTATTTGAACTTATTTCTAAGATGTTTCCAAATGTACAGCCTAGAGTATATGAAATAAAGTACAAAATATGTATCTGTATATAATATATAAAATAAATAGATTCTTTGTCTTAATTCTGTTTTGATCTAGAGGATATTATTCTTGATTCAAGTGTTTGTAAGTGTAACAAATTTAAGTGAATTTAATAATTTATGCATTTAATGAATTAATATACAGTAGGACCCCGATTATCCGGACCTCGGTTATCCGAATTCGCGATTATCCGGACTGCCAATCGCGACGAGTTTATTCTAACATTAACATGTCAGAACTTGCATAACGCCACACCACTTATAACTAGGGCCCGGATAAATATGTATTAAAAAATCAAAAATATGTACATAAAATATGGACGAAAAAATCAAAAAATATGGAGTATAAAATTAAATAATTTCATAATTAAACATTGTTTTACTATAAGAAAGGGTCACTCGTGACATACGTCGTTAAGAAACATTTAAAAAACGATGAAAAAAAGGTGTGAAATATTTATTTCAACAAAAAGTAACAGTTTTATTCAACTTCCATTACACTAGCTTTGTCAAATTGGTTGCAATACACAATGACGTGCTTCTTTAAATTATCAAAATGAAAACTGACCATTTGGTCGAAATATAGCCTTATATTTGGTGAATGATCTCTCCACTCACATGACGTGATGGATGCATACTTAATTCAGTAATTGTGTGAGCTGTCTACAGCCCTCGAAACTTTCGCACAGAATTTTGTTAATTTTTTAGCGTTTATATCCTTTATTTTTATCCAAAACATTAGTGGCGGGAACGTAAATTTTATGTTTTTTGTGAATATATGGATGATTGTGACATTTTTTTTTTGTAAAATATGGACTTAACTTTGAAATATGGTAAAATATGGAAAATAAAAGTAAGTTTTTCACAGTCTAAATATGACAATCCATGTAAAAAACACATTCTAGACTGAAATTCGCGTAAATTAAAAATATGTATTTACATATTAATCCGGGCCCTACTTATAACACGTATACGTACATTATGTACAATTTCTTAATAAAGGTTGATTTTCGCTCATATATGTTTTTGTTGTTTTAAATAAGCACCTAACATTACATATGTATGGTACAGACTACATATGTACATATGCAAAAAGCCCAATTTTCTTCATATATTGGATTATCCGGACTTTCAATTATCCGGATGCCTACCGACAACAATTAGTCCGGATAATCGAGGTCCTACTGTACTACATTTATGATCTAGCATTGAGAAATACTAAGATTAAAGAAAAACATTTTATAATTTTAATTATCTTAAAAACAAAATTTAAGCACAGTAGAGCAATATTCACTTAATAGTAACAAGTCTCTAAATTTTACTATTCATTGAGAGAATATATGTATATCACAAGTAATTCATTTATTTACTTCATTGCACAAAAAATATACTATGTATGCTTAGACACTCTTATTGCTCTCATTCAACCATAAGTTAGTGAATAACATTAATATGAAAAGGGGAAGTTGAAACAAAAGATGTTTAGTTAGAAGCATGAAATAATAATGACCTAACAGAAATCTATTCATAAATTTTATTTACATAGACACATATATATAATTGTGGATAATTTGTATGTCAAAGAATATACAACATAATATACACAATATTACTAAGTGACAATAGTGGATTCATTAAAAAAATAATTACTAATGGTTTTCAAATAGGAAATGGCAATTTGATGACAGGCCCCAAGTTTACCTTGAAAATCATATACATGATCAAAAGTTACTTAATATTCAGATAAATCTGATACATATATTCTTAAAGTTATTGAGTTTGCTTATTAATGTTAAGATATGAAGATTTGTATAGTCTATTGTATGTGATTACAAAAGAAGAGATTGAAAAATCTTAGCCGAAAGAGGGGTACATTTTTTCCATTGAATCAGACAACCAGTGCTAGCAAAAATTAACAGCTTTCTGAAACGTCTAGTGCTTACGAAAAAGGACGATCTTAAAATCGATAGCTCTTTTAATCCCAAAGTGTTTAACTTTTTACCAAAACACTTAATTTCAAATGCACATTGTACACCAGAGCGAAAGGCTAAGAAATAGAAGTCGATTCGACGGTTTTGTTGAGGGCCACGCAAAATAATGACTTGTGCCTTAATGCGGCTTATGAAGATCCCAAATGAACTGTTACTAATGATTTTTAGTCAAAAATATGTTGTTGATTGGAACACCATTGTACACTTGAATATCGTTAGCATAATGACATGGTAGGATAAAAGTAAAAATGTGGTATCAAAATTGATAAGAATTTAGAAAGAATAGGAAGACAGTACCATCATGTAGAATGGCCTCCGTTAGTGTAGAATAAATTGAGAAATAGTTGACATTAAATAAATTTAATTGGTCAAGGCGTCAGTAGACGGCGCTACACAGCACATATCTATACTAATATTATAAAGCAGAAGAGTTTGTTTGTTTGAAAGCGTTAATCTCCGAAACTACTGGTTCGAATTGAATAATTCTTTTTTTGTTGGATAGTCCAGTTATCAAGGAAGGCTGTAGGCTATATAACATCACGCTACGACCAAAAGGAGCAAAGATATAGTGATAAACGTGTAAAAAACGGGGGAAATTATTTCATCTTTGAAGCCTTCCGTTGCGTGCGCCGTGAAAACGGTTCAAGATACACAAAAAATATGTATTAAAGAATAATAGCTCTTTTAATGATCTAAAAAACAGTCCGCGACAGTGTATGTCTATCTTTAAAGATTAACTCACAAAAACCGTTTTTATGGTACCTAATTTGGTCGAAATAATTTGTTTAAGTTGTATCAACATAATAATATTAATCTTAATTCAAATAAACATATAAATATGTTGTTGGTTAAGAGTACTTCATTGTGAATAAAAAGAAACATAGGTTTTATCCTGAAAATTCTACGGGAACTCGACCATTCGGAAAACCCCGCAAGAACGGGAACTATGTGGGAAGAACCAAAAATCTGCCGGAAGTCACTATTCCACGCAGACGAAGTCGCGGCAATTATCAAATATGTCAGTAATTCTGAACAATTGTCCCTTGAAAATTGAAACAAGAGAGGCATTGAAATACTTTGACGGAAAATTTCTTTACGTACGTTAAGACTTAAGAAGTAAGTACACATGGCGAAGTTTGATCTGATGTCGAAAATAAAAGCAGAGAAGAGGGTTACGTATCGTATATTTAATATTATTGTAGGGGAGAGAGAGGAACGCTGGAGCACATATTTTCCTTCTTTCGTAGACAGATTAATAGGTTTTATATCACTAGTTTCATTTATTTATTTTTAAGTTTCAGTGAAAGTAATATTCCCGGAGTTTATAAATAAAACCTGGTATACACTTATGTTTATGATGGAATGGAAAAATAAAGAACTGGGCTGTTGCATTGCAAATGAATGTAGATTATAAAATATGAAGTTTCACTATTATTAATATTCTTAATGTTTTTATGATAAAAATAAATAAAAGTATAAATATTTTTTCTATAAATGAGAAGGTTATAATGTATAATACCTATTTTGTTAAAATTATTGATATTTTATCTTCTCTTTTATTCAAATGATCAAAAAGACATTTTGATAAAGCCTTTACCTTAATTATAAGGAATACTTTTAGCTAACAATTTCATAATCTCTAATTTTTGTTTTATCAAAATCAAAACGAATAATTATAAAAAGCAAAATCAATATTTTTGAGACCTTAAACCTATTGTAAAAAAGACTTTTTACAGTTCCATTGTAATGATAAAAAAGTGCTTATAATTTTAGTATTAGCATAGCTACAGTAATTTTAAAAATTAATATTTAGTATTGTGATTTAAATATGTACACAAAACACATAAAATTTACAGTTAAAACAATTATCGGTCATCATATCAACATTCATGTTTTCGGAACTATATCTTCATGGAATATAAATTTTATTCATTCCTTATATTTATTATGAATTTACTACTAATTTACTAAATCAGTAAAAAGACATAGAGCTACAATATTATTACGTACATACTGAAACATTATTAGTACAATTCGTTTATAGCGAAACTGAAATTTCCTTAGTTATTAAATAAATGATAAGGATATAATAAAAACTTATCTTGAATTTTATTTGTGACTAGTTAGGTATAGAGTAATTTGTTGCTAAGGAATCGTTTAATGAGGCTCAAAAGGACTCGTATCCAGAGCCGTAAAGACATTTACAAAAAAAAGGAATCGTTTAAAAAAAAATCAAATTAGGAACATCTACGGTAAGAAATAATTTGACAAATAAAACAGTTCTGTGTATATTTATTCACTATATAACAGCGTGTATATGAAAATATCACAATATGGAATTCCCTGTAGGTATAATTGCGGGTTAACGGTAAATAACAATACATTATAGTGAGACATTTAACAAGAAATATCTATATTTACATAATTCATAAGTTATAATCATAAATAAAAACATTTCAAACATGGTAAATAAATTTCATTTTAAGCTTATATCAAATATAATTTGATAGAGTTTTTATAACGTAAATTTGCATATTTCCTATTATTATTGCTGGCAAAGCAAAAACCAAAAAAAAATTCTTTTTATTTCTTCTTTGAAGAACCTGGAGAAAGAAAAATATATATAAAATCACAATACGACATTCGCGGTACTTTTGTAATCCGACTAAACTTTGTAAGAGCATTAATATAAACACAAATAATATATGTAACACAAAATAATACCTCAACACTACTATATTCCCTGTTCCTATAATCGTTTTATTTTCAGTACTATAATATTTCACCGACATTATATAACTGTTTGAGCAGTTTTTTTAACGAATAAATTAGCTTTTAAAAGTATCAAGCGATTCGATTATTTCTTCAGTAAACCAAATTCTCTGTTATAATATGTTATAGAATCTTAATATATAATGTCTATAAAGTATATATCTTTGTCATTTTTTTTTTGCAATCAAAAAAGGGAAATACTTTATAAAAAATTTGATGATTAAGTCGTAAAAGTGGGTAACAGGTTGTACAACAGTCTTTGTAACTGACACAGACAAATATTCGTGAGAATTACTTAAAGATCGCAAATTCAATGGCCACAAATATAACATTATATATAAAAGCAACCAATAAAAAATTACGTAAACCTTGTTAGTTTTTGTTGAAAATACTATTTATGAAGGTGGACTTACAAAGGAGCATAGAAGATTGTTGCTAAAGTCGCAATAAAAAATAAAGTTGTTTAAAAGCAAACCTTATTAATTTTTAAAAAAGTCATGGTCTCTAAATATTATATTTTCTTTGATATCCAAATTCTGCTTAGCGTCCTCAATATCCTGTTTTATAGCACTTATCAGATTGTTCAACGAAGGAAAGTTCTTTTCAGGTCTTAAGTATCCGAGCACACAGATCTTCAAGATCGAACCATAAAAGTCTTCGTCAAAGTTATGAATAACATGAGTTTCCTGTAAATAAAACAAATAAAATATTATATACTCAGTAAATGAAAATGATTAAAGGTTAATTGTATTCTAATATACTGCTAATAATTATTATTGATTTATTGTGCTTAATACATAATATATGTATACAAAATTGAATGTAATTAATAATTATATGTAAATGTAACCAGGCCTATAAAATATAACAATATATCTAAATATATAATAGACTTACAACAGACAACTCCTTATTCTGATAAAACGGGCACCATCCAATATTGACGACCATCTTGTAAACGGGTCCCGAGTCAACTTTAGCCCAGCCATAATAAACACCAGTTTTTAAATCTTTTGGCAGAGATTGTGCTACTTCCCTTGGAAAATTTGCTGAAAACAGTTTCAAAAGTTACAAATTATTATATTTAAGTAGATAACCTTTTTTTACATATATTGAAGAAACTATTGCTAAAGATAAATAAAAAACATTTTTAGAAAAACCTATTTCTTAGTATTCTATCTTATCTTTATTTATGGTCAATAAAAACTACAAATTGTCTACAATTAGTCACAACTTATCAATTGATAAATGTCAACAATTCAATGCATATTGGAACACAATGTTGTGGTTCTTGATGCATTTATGACAATTACTCATGTATTTTATAATCTGTTCACATATCAGTAATTATTAACTATCTTATCTTTAAAGATTTGGCAAAAGATTCGACTTTTTGGAATATTTATATGGATTAATTTGCACTTGACATTGGATATACAAATAAATTCTCAATATCACCCTTTGTATAGCATAAATATTTATCTTATCTGCCAGACAAAATATATCCCTTTTTATATTCTCGACATTTATTCATAAATTTTAATTGTAATTAAAAATATACTATATAGACTTCATACTGTTTATTTAACAACTTTCAGTCTCATAAAATTTTGGACTTTATAAAAAATAATTCAGAATTTTAATATAAATCATATATAATATAAATTAATATCAGGTCAAATTTGTAAATAGTACAGAATACCTTGTCCTAATTACATTATTTTTATTTGTTCAGTCAATGGAACTTGACTTAAATGATAAGAAATACAAACATTTGTAATAATTAATACAATAAACAACTGTATATGATATTGGAATTGCATTTACTTTAAAAAGAAATACAAGTATGGATTAAAGGTTTTATATATTAAGGTTTTATTAGGTTTAATATACATATTTAGTAAAGTTAATTTAAAAAAAATACAGTAAGGAACACTGATTTTTGTACATTCAGATATATTAAGACAGACTTTAAGTTGTGGAAATTAACTGCCAATAAAGTATCACTGTTGCTATACAAGATAGGATTATGTAATATTAGTAAAAGCATAGTTATTGATTGTTTGAATTTCTTCGAATGCCAACAAGAAGTTGAACAGAACATTATTCATTACTATTTATATAAGAATTCTGATAAGAGACAATATGCTAGTTAAAACTAGTCAATTGCTTATCTTTGTACCTACATTATATATTGGCCAAATGATTCAAGGAGTTTGCATGAAAATGTTAATTATTTAGCTTTTCATAAATAAAATTAGTTTTTATGGCCAGTTATAGTTATATTTTTAAATGTTTAATATTTACTAAATACAAATATGTCATGTTTGTGAAAAAGCTATTTTATATATTATATTTTATTATATATCATGTTTATTAAGGGGCTTCCTTGTTTTTAAAATAAATCCTTTGAGATATTTTTTTTAAATTTTTAATTAGTAATTATAATACATACCGGTTGGACAACCTAAGTCCTTTGAACCTCTTCCAAAGCCGTTCACTACTTGACCTTTTAAAAATAAAGGCAACTGTGATAAAGACATTGTATTTTTATAAATGAATATTTAAATAAAATCCTTTTTTATTATATTTAATAGAAATATCGATCACTCAATGAATGATTATAAAGCGAAGGCACTATGTTAACTGAGAGTATTCATTACTAAATTCTAATTTATTGTCACGATTGCTAATCGAACTTCGAAATGTTTCATCAGACAATCACTTTCTATAGCAGTCCTCATTAATTGACTGACTTTGTAGATAAACAAAATTGACATACATTTTTGACTTTGACGTTGTCCAAAATTAAACAACGCTCTCCAGGTTTTTCTAAAATAAATTAATTAATTATAAAAAATAGAAATGTAACGAAGTCATAACTGTAAATCAGGAAAATATAAATGTTGTAGTGACTAGTTGGATAATAACCGATTTAAGAATAAATCAGTTTATTGTTTAATAATTAATATGTACTCCATTTAATTTATCTTTCCTATAAAGTGAGATGGCTTTTATGATAAAGAAATTAAACAACAACAATTATATGCAACAAAGCTAAATATCTATATCAAAATAAAAGTTATATACAGAACAATTGAATTAATAATATAATAACTTACGGTATATTTTATTTAAATACTCGTATTTATTATTGAAATTTATTATTGAAGTCATAACAGCTGGGTTGTCAGGAATATATGAAGCAGTTGAAATATTATTTATAATACATTCTATTTGAACAATTTTTTTTATAATGTAGAAATCGCAAACAATAACTTAATTGTCAATCCATAATGTATGTGTTCCTCACTTAACCATTTTTTATACTGGTATAGACATTCTGATTCTCCATTATCTGTGTAATGGGGAAAAATCTAAAATTTTTGTTTGTAATGTCGCACTTTTATTGTAGATAGTATGTGTAGGATTTCCCATAATTTGTGTAACATAAAACAAATATTAAAAACATTTTAATGACAGAACTCTTCAGGTTTGAATATGGTGATATAAGCTGATAGCCTTTGTGTGACGATTCTCCCGTGTTGTTGACAAGTGTTAAACATATGAAACGAAAATATTAACAATATGATAACAAAATAGCATTATGAAAATGACTGAAAAAGGGTATGAGGGAGAGCAGTCTTCTGCTTGGGACATCCCGGGACCGTCATCAATAGCGGCTATATTAGATACAGTTTACACATCAACGACGTCTGAAAATCCGTCAAGAAGTGGTAAAATATCTAAATCTGGTTGTTTATTTAATAAATCACTTTGAATATATGTTTATATATCGTAAATCATATTTATTCCAGAGGAAATGGAATGTGATCCATTATTCGCTGAAAGTGATGACGAAGTCGAAGTATTACCATCTGCTGAAAATGCATCTGCAAGGAGAGCTTCGACACCTAAAAACGCTATATCATCGAATTACGTTAATTCAACATCCCCGAATCAGCCTTATGAAGTAAATGTGGCTTCCTTGTCCCAGCCCATACCAGCACATACTCCGGTGCCAGAAGAATATCAGCCATTACCCGATAGCTCTAGTTCAGTAGAATACGGTATTGGAATCAACAATACCGATAGCACCAATATCAATGGCTCAAGATATCAGGATGTTAATATGAGATATCAACCAAAGCCTATCAATCTTCAAGGTGGCTACTTCTATTCTAACTACCCCCATTATGCTAGTGTTAGACCCGCTAGGGAATATTTAGTTGCACCATACCCCACAAACAATATGATTGTTCTGGGTGAAGATAGAGGTTTTGTGAATCAGCCAATAAATTATACTCTTTCTGCTAATCGCCCTCCAGTAATCCAAGATAGTAATATGCCTCATGTAGGATATGAGCATATACAACCCACGGTCAATGAAAGTTTCAATCCTTTTGCTGGAAACAGAAGTCACAATGAATCGAGAGGGAATGGCCTCGAAAGACCAAGTCGTAAATTAAACATATCTCCAAGAAGAAAGCTTTCAAAAGAAAATGAAGTGAACTTAAATTTGATAGAAGTAAGTTCAGAGGAAGAAGACAATTCGGCATCACAAAATGTAAATTTGATTGACAGTTCAAGTAGACAAATGCCCAACGTAAATGCCGCTGGTAGTTCAAGAGCTTCAGTCAATGAAAATATTGCCAGAGTGGATGTGAAACGTGAACCACAGGAAGACACAGAGTCGTTAAATCAACCGAATCAAAGTCAACCCGAACCAATGCGCACAAACCGGCCAGCCCATCAGAATCATTCACCGGGGGCAGTCAGATACAAATGTGCGAAACATCGTCATCAAGTGCAAGTGAAACAGGAGCCGCATAGCTGTGCCTGCAGGAGCAATCACTTGCATTCATGCTCGCATCACAATCAGAACGCCCACAGATCGAGCCCCAACTACTTCAACTACCGCAACGGATCGCATCATCATCGTCAGCCATTCCCTTGCGCCCACAACTCATCCGCACCAACGAATCCAGTAACTAACATCAAAGAAGAACCAATCACCCAGCCGGTTATCAAAGTCGAATCGCAGAATGTAGATAATGAACCTAATGTAGCAGTTATTAAGCTTGAAAATGCACCGGTTGTAGTGAAATCCGAGCCAAACGTGTCAAGTCCGCAGCGGAGTAAACAGGGTAGTACAGTGCAAGTTAAGCAAGAAGCGAGGTGTTGCGATGTTGAAGCCGGTGGTGATAGAAGGATAAAGGAATCCTCGCCTCAACCGGGGACTAGCTCGGGACGAAATGCACAAGAAAATAATACGTCAGCTAGTCAAAGTGCTAGTTCCTATCAGGTAATATTTGCCGATAATAATTATTAATTATATATGACACGAAACTTCTCAGCATCAGATTCACCGTGCGTGTGTCGAGTCCATCGTTGTAGTCAGAGGAGCTTCAACAGTGCCTGGGACTTGCGACACAGATGTAGCTTTAAGAAGTCCTGTCTAACGCGTTAAACGCTCACCTTCACTATCCAAGCCCTCTACTTAACCAAATAAAGAAAAATTATTTGTATTTCAATGAGCCAAAATAAATCTATTTTAATCTTGTTTCTGTTAGCAGGAAGTTCAAAGAGGTGCAGATGCATCAGATGCAAGTGCAAGTGTAGGTGCCAGTGGTAACAGAAACGTTCTGTCCGCTCCAGATCTACAACTCGATTGGGTCTCCGATTCAAGTTCTGATGATGACGTGCAATTGTTAAGAGAAGAACAAAATACGGTAAGTAAACAGATATAATTTTTATAAAAAATATTGGTCTGTATAATACGGACCTTTGTCGCTACCTTAAAAAAAAATTTAAATTTTTAAATGTGTCAAAGTATAGAATACAAATGGAGACAAGTATAACTCTTTATAACAGATATAAAACAAAAGTAAGAAAATATAAAGTCAGTTATACACTTAATTTATTTGAGTTCTATAATTGCAAGGTGTTTAAAAGTGGCAAATCAATATTTTTTTTTATGAAAGCAAAAATTTGACAAAAAATTTACATAGCTAGCAATCGTAAAAATATTTTATCACAATCTCTACAATGTGTTCACTACGTGCATTTTTATCTATATATCATTAATAAATTATAATATATGGACGCTATAATATTTATGCTTTAAATCATTTCTTAATATAGACTTTTTTGATAAAAATATTTCCAGACTAATTTCAGATATCCTATAATTTATAAAGACCATAACATAGAAAAGATACAATATGACTTCTTCTCACACTGAACTACGACACAGCAAAATGAGGACTTCTGAATAATCTATCAGGTTTGATAATTACTATATTTGGCGAGATCTAATCATATTGTTATTTTTTTCAGCGTGAAGTGATTGATTTGACACCTCGCGGGCAGACTCCCGAAGTAGAGAATCGTTCGCGGCCACTGTTTGAATCGGTGCCTCATAGAGACCCGCCCCTATATCACACGCCGCCCGTACCAACACACGCGCACGTCTTACATAGAACCAGGTAAATATATTATTATATACCAACAAATTTATATAGAAAATACTATAAAAACTACATTGAACCAGTAGTCCGAGTTAGAATCGTCAGACTACATACGCAGAGTTAATAGTATTCATGCAATCGTTCGCACATTGCAGTATTATAGTACGTATGTTATTGAATAAAACTGGAATCGTGTCATATATAGTGATGATACAAGACTAAGAGTAAGCATACAGATATTAAACTGATATATAACTGATATTAGTTCAGAAATAAAAAAATATTTACACTCAATACTACAGTACTTGAAGAACTTTGTAAAGATTTATATAATGTTTTTTCCAGCTCTTATTTTTTTGAATATTTTTATAATAAAATCATCCGAATGTTAAATTTGTAAATAATTTCAAATTATTTGGAGGATCTAAGAAATATCGTATCGATCACATGTCGTAAAAACTTACAATAATGTACATATGTATTAGAAAATAAAAAAAAAAATGTCGGTAACCGATGATAATTTATCATATGTAAATATAGTTTAGTTGAGAAACATTATTTAATATTACATCAGCTCAACGAATCGTATAAATCGCAACGAATTCTCAACGCTCGTTATAACGTGCCATATCGTTTGTATTGTAGACGTTATATTAAATATTCATTGTGTAAGGGTGCGTTGTTTGATGGCGTGTCGCGGTTGTTGTTGCGCGTCCCACGGCGGTCACGGGCACGCCCACGCCGCCCACGGACACACTCACGGGCACGCTCACGGCGCCCACGTGCCGCTTGCGCCTCACGCCCACGCGCCGCATACAACGCACAATCCTCCGCCGCTTGCACACCGTAAGGAGTTTTTAATATTCATCCATTGCAGTTTATATTAAGTAAAAATAAACTTAATTAAATTATAATATAAAAGTTCTTTATGTATATGTTATTTTAATTGGGTGTCCTAAACGCATATTATTCGAAATAAACCTATTTTATTAGTTAAAATGCAATGTTTTAAACACAACTCAATTATTTTGATAAAATATATTTCTTCATTGATCTTGGGATTAATGTCCAGGTATATTAAATTTTCAACTAATATTCTTAAGTTATATATTTTAATAATGTCTTCATATTGCAGTAGGTGAACGGCGTCGAGATACAAATCCTATAGCGCCGCCCTATTTGGTTCACGAGAGATTGTGGCACCGTCAACAACATATGCTGGTAAATATAACAATATACTAACTAAAAATAATTAAAATAACATTAAAATATACTGCTTACTACATCAGCTGCATAACTGCGAAAGTTTTATCAAAATCAATTCAAATGTACCAAAGGTTAGTTAGAATAAATAGTCTGACAGAAATTTTAAAAATATAAATATTTTATTACATTTTACATACATACAGGCAATGATTTAATATTTTAAATTTTAATATTTTGTATATATAAACATATTCTTCGTGAAATTTATTTAAATGCGTAGTAAATAGCGTTTTTTTCTCGAATATTCCAGGAAGTTCAACGTCGCAGTATGATGGGTGATATGAGCGGTTTGGCTTCGGGTTTCTCACAGTATCCACCGTCATATATATCACCTCGACCTAACACAATGCTTGCGGTGAATACAAAAAATATTATTATACTATACACAGATCAATCTTTTATTATATTATATAAAAATTTCGTGTCACTAGTTTGTCGCGATGGACTCCTAAACTACTTAACCGATTTTAAATTTGATTTGTATCCCGTGTGCATTTTGATCCAACTTGAAAGATAGGATAGCTTACATCTCAATTTATAGTCACAATATTATTTTATTGCAAATTATTTGTCTATTAAAGAAAATTATTTGTCATTATTACAATTATCTGTTGACTGAGTTAAGTATTCAATAGATGGCGCTATGTTAAAAATACAAACGTCATATATGAGCGACTATTTAATAATAGCATAACCACCACGTATTTATAATTCTGAGGCTAAGGTATAACCTAAATTTATTTATTAAAAAAACGTAACAGATATTTCTTGATTATAGGGCGATACGAAGTTCGCCGGGTCTTCTAGTTAAATTATATAGTTTTATTGTACGGATTATATATGATCAATTAATACATGAAATTTAAATGAAACTAATATTTTTCAAATTATATTACACGTCTTTATTTTTGTGAAAAACTATATACTCCCGACGTTTCGATTACTTTTCAGCAAGCGTGATCATGGCAGATGAGATGTAAAATGTGTATGTGAGTCTATAGTCTGTGAGTACTATAATCCGAAAGATATTAGTTTCATTTAAACAATTAAAACTCACGAAAATCTTAGATCTCATTAATGCATGAGATGTCAGGTATTTTTTTTTGTATTAGAAATATCAACAATTCAAGATATTTTTTTATTTATTAATATGTTCTATTTTTCAGTTCCCCGACGATATGGATCAACCGCCTTCAATAATGTTGTAAGTTAAACATAATAGTTAATGTATAATGAAACTTTGTATGAATAATATCTGTTTGTTACCAGGGAGGGCCAGCATGTACATCATCATATGCATCACTACCTACAAATGCATCCACCGCATCTACACATATCAATACAACCATCGGTTATGGTAATTTGTACCTTAATCTAATATTATTAAAGTATATAATTGCTATTTAATTATTTATTGAATGCTTATCATTGTTTATGCCATATTTTTTTGTCCAGTTGGTATAGTTTTTCAAGGTTTTTTTTTGGAAAGAAAAAATGTATATAAACCTACAGATAAAAAATAAGTTAAAGCGTAAATAAAATGATTTACATATTCATAAAATAAACTAAGTTAGTTTAAATAAGTATTTAAAATAAATAACAAATTATTTATGCAATTTAAAACTTGATCGTAATGATTCTAAGATAGATGAAAAATTATTGTCTTTAAATATATCTATATAGAAAAATATTCTATGTTATTGTTTTTTATTGTATCTTTCACAGACTAAAAAATCAGATAAATTTCATTCATTTTTCATACTGTTGTATATTAATTAATCATAAATATTGTTATATACAGGGTGGTGGTTTAGGCGCTACTCAGATGGCTGCCTTAGTGCGAGTGGCCGAGGCTGCGGAGGCTCGACGAGCGGCCCGCGGCGCCTCACGAGCTGTTATAGAGAGGAACACGTACAGACATGCATACACCATGCCGTCTAACCACAGGGACGATAAATGCACTATATGTTTATGTGTGTTCGAGATAGACTCGGATTGCAGGTGGGTTATATATATTTGAATAAGGATATATACAGCCTTGGCCAAAAGTATTAGGCACCCCAAAAAAACCTTACAATTATAGATCAAAACAACTTTTACTTTTCAAAGCGATTTATTAATATTAATAACATATTAAAATAAACAAAAAAAACTTAAAATCTAGTTGGTCCACCCTTAGACTTAATCACTGCTGCAATTCTATGAGGCATGCTCCGAACAAGTTTAGTGCAGTCATGCCTTGTAATGGAAGCCATTCTTGCACCAACGCATTTTTATTGCCGTTTTTGACGTAATGCTGTGCTCTTTAGTCTCCGCTTTAAAAGACCCCAAAGATGCTCGATTGGGTTAAGATCTGGGGACCCCCTCGGCTTTGTAGTGACAATTTTCCTGCCTGTTTTTGGTTTATTATAATAAGTACCAGTCTGAGCAAACCGTTTGATGGCAGATTGTACAGCGCAACGCGAACATTTCACCAACTTGGCTATTTCTTTTTGCGACTTCCCTTCTTAAAATAAAAGTTGTGTTTTAACTCGATTTTCAAAACTAATTTCACTCCTTTTCGGCATTTTTTTAAAGAATTAGATGTTAATGTAATTACTTAAACAGAAATGAAGGGTTGTTAACTCTTTAGATGGTAAAATGCTACTGACCAAATATTGACTGATAAGACCGCAAGAAAACACAAAACCTTTGGTTTCGGTTACCAGGTGTTTTATGACCTTATGAATATGCCGCTGACCTTTCCAGGTAATGGTTTATGATCCCGAAATATTATCCAAGAAACGAATTTATTTATTATTAGATAAGTAAAAATTAAATATGCATTTTTAAGGGGTGCCTAATACATTTGGCCAAGGCTGTATATACAGTAATACCCCGCCTAGCGCGAACCCGTTACGCGTGATTTCACTATAGTTTGGACAAATTGCAGGGTACCTATAGACAATAATGATGACCGTGTCTTGGCCGTGTGTCAAACAATTAAAACCAGTGTTGGGTGTAATGAAAGTATTTTATAAGAACGTTAACAAAACGCTATCGGAAAAACAACAAACAAACCTCGATATACGCGAATTTTAGTTAACGCGATTTTTTTCAAAACATATCCCTCGCGTAAAGCGGAGGAGGAATGTCTGTCAGATAAGAGAAATTAGCTCTATAATAGAAGAGAGTTTAATGTATGATCAAATTATATGTTTCAATAATTTGTATACAGAATGGTAGATATGTTAAAACTCTTAAGATTTTAAACTGTTTTCTTTTTTTATATAATTTTAAATCTAAAGAAAACAAAACTTATTATTATAGTAGATATGAAAATAGGAGCTACTATAATTAAAGCAGGAGTTAAAGCAAAACAAATAAGCATCATGCTCATCTTTGTAAATATATGTAATTATTAGGGCCCAGATAAATATGTATTAAAAAATCTAAAATATGTACATAAAGTATGGACGAAAAAATCAAAAATATGGAAAAAATATGGAGTATAAAATTAAATACTTTCATAATTAAACATTGTTTATTATAAGAAAAGGGTCACTCGTGACGTACATCGTCAAGTTACATTTAAAAAACGATGAAAAAAAGTGGCTAAATAAATATTTCGCTATTTTTTTATATAATTAAATAAATATATTAATTAAATAATTATAAACTGTTATTTTTGTTGAAATAAATTTCAACAAAAAATAAAAATTTATTCAACTTCCATTACACAAGCCTTATCAAATGGGTTGCAATACACAATGACGTGCTTCTTTAAATTATCAAAATGAAAACTGACCATTTGGTCGACCTATAGCATTATATCTGCTGATTGGTCTCATCTCAAGTCACATGACGTGATGGATGCATACTTAAACATGCTTAATTCAGAAATTGTGTAAGCCATGTCTACAGCCCTAGAAACTTTCGCATAGAATTTTGTTAATTTTTTTAGCGTATTAAATCCTTTATTTTTATCCAAAACATTAGTAGCGGGAACGTAAATTTTATGTATTTTCGTGAATATATGGATGATTGTGACATTTTCTTGTAAAATATGGACTTCACTTTGAAATATGGCAAAATATGGATAATAAAAGTTGGTTTTTCACAGTCTAAATATGACAGTCCATGTTAAAAACACATTCTAGATCGAAAATCACGTAAATTAAAAAAAATTTACATATTAATCTGGGCCCTAGTAATTATCATTATAAAATGTCTCTATTCAGCAGATTTCACTATACCATTCTATATTGTTATATTTATTAATATGTATATTATATTTCCAGACGACTGCCTTGTATGCATCTGTTTCACATGGAGTGTGTGGATCAGTGGCTGAGCACCAACAAACACTGTCCCATATGCCGAGTTGATATTGAAACACATCTCAACAAGGACGCCACATTCTAACAGCACTTGGTATATAAATTATTGTATTGAAAATTAATACTATGAGTATACTAATATTATATGTTTAAGTATTATGATTAATATGTGGATATTGTTATACTGAATGCAAAAATTACTGTACAGATTTGGATTAAACTTTACCATAATGTTAGCAGTACAGAATAATACAGGATATATTATATAGTAATAAATAATGCAATCTACATACAGTTTGGCAAGTTCTGGCAAAGTTAACAATATAAAATAAATGTTCCATACATAAATATTAAATTAGAATGTAAACATTTCCAATAAGTAGTGCACTTGTGGAAAAAAGTTGTCAAAAAAGTGAAATTCGATCCTTAAATAGTTTTCTACATTAAGTTAAACTCCAAAATGTGTTAAAATGTACATATAGGTTATATCAGAATGAAAACAGATCATTTATAATAATATATTTAATGTTATTTACAATTTATCTAAACTAATTTACATCTCACTTTAATTTCTTGTCGTTTGTCACGTCTTTCAGTTTGTCCTCGAGGTGAGGTGCACTTATTATAGCCTGCTGTTGTAACTCCAAGCTCTCTTGCTGTAGCTCATGTGTTAACTGTTTTTGAGTATTACAAGTCCTGGAACACGCGCATATACATTACTTGTTAGAATAAATATAATTTAAATTTTTACTTTGTTACATATTTATCTGTGTTATTTTAATTTTCCTTAGTGATTTTTTGGGAGTGAGAAATTTTTTGTATAGTTTGTTCAATAAACTATCTATGTCGCTATATGTTGATCATTGAGCCCCTATAATTGTGATATTTGATGTCGGCTGAAATTTTACAGGCATTTATAAAATAGATGAAAATAACATTGAGGTTATGTTATCTATGAAAAAGTATAATGAATTTGGTGAAATCTGTTAAAACAAAAGATTGATTGTGTGTAACAAGACTCGATACACTGTTGTGAATCTAAATATTTTTTCACTTTGAACTTGCTCAATTATTTGAGAAATATTATTACTGATTAAGATATAATATGTATTATGAGCTTATAAAAAAATAATAACTTCTGTTAAGAAATGTCCAAATGACATTGCAAGATCCTAAACAATTTTTATGTAACACATAAAGCTTTCAAAATAAGTCTTTGATTAATTTTGTAACATAATTCATTTTTTTAAACATAATTTAGATGGAGACATGGACTTTAACTATTAAACATATTAACTTTTCAAAGTAATATTAATTAAAATAAGTTAAGAAATTACTCTTGCATTATTGATACAGTTTATATAGATTATTTGTCACCGATACCTTTATAAGAAAAAAAAATTGCCGCAGTGATTTAACTTTACACTGCCAAAAATATCATTTATTTATGTCAAAAATTCTTATATATATAATATTCTTATGTAAATATCATCACAGCAGCATAATAATTAAATATATATTTCTATGCAAAGATTTGTTTTGCATTGTTTCTTTTAATATAAAATAGGCATTTATTGTGTAATAATTATGTTAAAATGAATATCATATATTATTTAAAAGTGCATAACCTCATTTATTAAAGTCTTTTTATATGTAATGTTATTTTATTTACCTGCATGCATGATCAATTCTCTCACAGATAGCATCTGAGGCTGTTATGTTTCCAGACAAATAAGATATCTCTGCCGCTGTTGTAGCTAATTTCTCTGCATAATCCATGTAACCTTTAAATCATATATAGAAATTTTAGAAAAAGTTAAATGATAAAAGTATAGAAGCACATAATTAATATCTAGTGTTTTGATATATATTTTTAAAGAATAATGTATATTGATATATTGGGGCAAAAACCTATTTGTATAAATTTGTAACAATTTTCAAAAGAGGATAGTATAAAAATTACAGAATAAATTTGACAAATCGATAGAAAACAATTACAGTAGAAACTCAATTAACAAGACTAATTCCTGTTTATAAGCATTTTAATATTTTTATTTTAATGCGAAATTTGTAGATAGTCTGAGAATATTTATATGGAATATATGCACCGAGTAGTTGAGCATATGGTGGTTTTGGGTGGGAAGCACTAACCGCTAGCAGAGGCGGAACGAAAAAAAGATTTTTTAAGTTGATAATGTACTTTTAACAATTTTACCAAATTGTGATTCAAATGACATATTGAATGTCTGTAAACATTTGTATTTTGTAATGTATGATTAAAAGTATGCAAGTAACAATTAAATTGTGTAGGTATACTTGTTGTATTGGTATTGTAAGCAGTGCTTATTTGCATCTATGGTGTGCATTCCACTGTTATAGTTGAAAATCCAGATAATCAAATGTAAGAAGAAAATCAGGTTCAGTGCAAATGTAGTACATAATAATGTCTATAAAGACAAATATATATATACACTAAATATAAGTATAAAAATATTATAGCTTTAACCATGGAATAAAATAATAACTATAACTTTTAGTAATGATTATTAGAGATAAGCCATTTTTCATTATTGCTACTATGTCACAAACTGATTCATGTATATTCTATAGTGAAGTCACAGAATTGCTGTTTATTCAATTTTAAGACTAATTTTGTTAATAGGCATTTAATAAAATTGGGTTATGATTGGTAGTTTGGATAATCACAAATCCTTATAACTGAGGACAAGATAACCAAGTGTCTACTGTAATTAAATGTAATAGATTTAACTATTATCTTTGATTTTACATATTTATTTTTCGTCTCAATATACAGGGTGACTGGTGAATTACTATCGATACTTGAGGACGTGATATTTGACGATCATATATGACAAAATAAAAATTAATATAACATAAATATTAATAAACTTCTAAGTAAAGTTAACCAAAAGTTATGTAATTAATTACGCATCGTGTGAACACCCTACAGATTAGGTATAAACACACACACACACACACATACACACACACTTGGAACACTTGGAACGTGTCCACACTTTATTTATTTATACGGAAATTTGGTCAAAAATTAAGTACCTATTTTTTTTACATAATTCGAATGAGAATCATGTACCGAGTATTCTCCTTAAATATTGATAGTTATTCACCAGTCGCCCTGTATACATACATACTGTTCCCCTTAAAATACAATATATCAAGGCACTATCAACACTAACAAATAATTGTATTTGAATTATAATTTAACCAATGGAAAAGCAGTTTGACTTACTAAAAAGAGTTCTCAAATTATGTTTCAAGTCACACAGGACTCCTCGAACAGCTACTAATTGATCCCAGTGATTTGGTGGGGTGGCTTCATCCCCCCATTCTAAGGCTTGTTTCACAAGGCAGATTTCTTTGGATAGAGCATCTCTTAACCTACAATTTGATTGGGAAATAACTATGTAAAGAGCAACAATGAAGGCCTACTATATATTCAATGTTTCTCATGGCTTAATTACCTCAAATATATAAATTTATTTACCTTTCACTCGTATCTTGAATTGCTACTAAAGTTACTGTTAGTAATTGTGTTGCTGCATTTACATTCACTGTCGTGGCTTGGCGTATAAGGAATTCGTGTTCTAGGCTGTCACTATCGTAAGCTAAGTTCATTTCATGTTTTTCGGTGCAGAAAACTGAACTTAATAACCCCAAAGTCACCGGCGCAATTGTTCGATGTTTTGATATAGCGTTTTTTGTTCTAGTTCTATAAACATTTCTAATAGTATAAAGTAGCCTATTTCTAAACATATTGTAACAACGAAATTTTAAAATGATTTGGGTATTTATTAATCCATTGTAATTTTTGTGACCAAATAATTTGAAAGAGCAAGAATTGTATTATGACATTGGCACTGGCAGTTTGATTTTGGTGTAGCCATTAACATTTTGTAAATTTAATATCTATATTCCTATTAAATATGAAAAAATTCGAAAGTTTCCCTGCGTATAAAGTGTAATGTAAGTTTTTTCAATAAATGTTTTATATTTTCACTTTGATAATATAATTTTATCGCATAATTAAATTTATTTTATTTAAAACTCGACAAAAACCAAATTATTAATCTCGTAGACTTTTCAGAATATGACTAAAAAGTTTTGACTATAAATAAAAAATAAAAAACCCAATAGAATCTTTCCAAACTTTGGATAATTTAAGTTCTTGAAAATCGTAGATATCTTCATATTTCACTTTTAAATAATAGTCGTACAATATCTTTTTCTCATTCCTGGAAATTTCCCAGCTTAAGCCAGGGTCTGTCTTACATGTTGTAATTAGTTTTGGCTAATTGTTTTTAAGTTAGTTTTGCCTGCCTGACATCAACCCTCTTTGGGAATACATTAATCACCACGACTGGTTGGTGATTTTAAACTTATAATTGTGAAATTATTAAAGTCCAGGTTTCCTCCCAATGTTTTCCTTCATCGTCTGTCAGTGGCGTCTAAATACTCTCAAAAAGTACATATGACTCGGAAAAATCACATTGGTACTTGCCAGGATCGAACCCGCGCCCTCATGCATGAAAGGCGGGCCTTTAACCACTAGGCCATCACTGACACTTACAATAGTCATACGATATGTTCCATTTCAACGTCTTTAAGTGAATTTTCAGAACTAAATTAAGTTTACTACAGACAGTACTAGTAGACGCTAGTATTTATTGTAATGCACATAGTAATAATGAAACAACAAAAATGATCTGAACATATTTATATGTTTATTTCATCCATGAATAACTTCGAAGGTCTGAGAGTAGTCCCGCATCTGAGTGGTTGAGGGATTTACATTAAAGTTCAAACCAGCGACACCACGGTCGGCAGCTGCTATCAACCTCGTTGAATCAAAGTCTAAACTATATATACAAGACGACTTTTTCTGTGTGAAAAACATCTGAAACGATAAATCATTTATATAGTAAAAACTTTAATTTTAGATACTTGAAATATATAATTAATTACATAATCCAATATTTCTTTGAAGTAAATAATTCCTATATGGAAGGCAAGTGCAAGTAATATTAGTTATAATATTTTTTTCTCATCATATAGTACCTGAACATGATGTTTGGAGCGTAAATCGAATAGAACGCATCTAGAATATTCCGCTGAGCCAACAACCACCGCGTGGTTAGAATCAGTTTTCACACAAAATAATGATGATAGGAAAGGATCTGTAGTTTCATAAGCCTGCAAAAAAGTATTATTTCTTTTGAGATGTTCTATTGTCTTCATAAACTCTATTTTTTTATGAAAAATATACATTCTTTATGGCAAAGAAATCTTATCATAGCAGCACAAACATTGTGATAGTTACATATAAAACCAATTATATTTAGATGTAAGGGATAGAAGACTCACTACCACAATGTACTAATTTAATTCGAACCACATATTAAAAATATTGAAAATGAGTCTAAGTTTTTCGGACAACTACGCGTTGTTTATTATTTTATTGCGATTTTTTCCAAACATTTCGATTACTTCTTAGCAACCAAATTTTTTTCGGAAAACTTAGTTTCATTCAAAATGTGTATGTGTGAAAATCTTACATAAAATAGATGTATATCTACATCATACAAAGGAAATTAAATGTCATCATGCCAGCTATTACTACTTATTCTAAGTGTTCAAATAAGAAAAAGTTCTTAGGCTAGGCGCGCACTAGGAGTTTTTCGTCGCGCGGCTGAAAAGAGCAGCGGCATAATGTCGCACTGTAATACTGTATAAAACAGTTTTAAATTGTATTGCGCGCACTTGACGGCAGAGCCACGGCAGCGGCGAAAGGTCTGTGACAAGTTACAACTTGTTTGCGGCACGGTGGTTCATCGTTTTGTGTAACATATTCGAATAGCTTTGAATGCGCGCACTACACGGCGTTTTGTATACTTATTTTGTTTTGCATTTCGAAAGCAACGATGGCTACGTCAATTAATTCTAATGATCTTGATGAAGAGTTCAATATTGAAATGCTTTTTAGTGAAGTTATGCATTCTATAATATTTGAAGAACTTGTCGGCAATCATTAAGTTCGGCAAATATTTTAGAAAACTGTCCGTCGTTTAAACGATTACGAATAAGAGGATGAATCCAAAATTGTTTTCTTTCTTTGAGCTCTAGTTATCAGAGCGCAAATACAAGTTGTTTTTACTAAATCCATTGTAAAACTCATAATTTTGACGCGGCAGAAAACCGTAGTGCGCACGTTTGTAGATTTTTCTTTGTTTTGCCGCACGGTACAATATCGCTGGTTTTTCTGCCTCGCGGCTAAAACTCGTAGTGCGCGCCTAGGCTTACAGCTGTTTCATAAGAGTCTTGTATTAACATAATCAAAAATAGTAAATCTACAAAGGATTCAGTCCTGGATACAGCCAAACTGTTTTTTTTATTTGTATATATAATTAAATATAAAGTATGAACATACCAAATCATTACTTCTAACATCTATCATTTGAAGTCTCCCAGAATGTGAAACGAAGACAACACTGTTATCATCATGCCATTGTATGTCTCTGGTTAAATGTTGTGAGCATATAGTTTCTTCTGAATGAATTATTGGTATTCTCCTGAAAATGTTTATACTTTTATTAAAATCTTTATATTGGACATAGATAATATATTGTTCTAATAACAACTCAATCATAATTTAGGTGTCTTTAAGAAAAGGTGAACAGGTTAACACTATTATAGTACATAGGTGTACAACTTTGCTTCCGCCGTTTTGCAATAGATGGTTGTAGCGGTAAGTGGTAGTCGAAATAAATAGATCGTTGATGTCATACGATAAGCTTAGGCATTTGTAAACATAATGCCATCGAAATATTAGTTGATTTGTGTCTGCATCATAAAGTTATTCTCGATTAAACATGTCAGCTTATGAGCCAAATTCTCGTCATTTGCGGGAGGTTTTAATTTTCTGCTTTAATATGAAGAAATCTGCGGCTGAGGATCATCGAATGCTCTCAAATACCTATGGTGAGGCTGCTATTAGTGAAAGAACGTACCGAGAGTGGTTTAAACGCTTCAAGAACGGTGATTTTGACGTCGAAGACCGGCATGGCGGTGGAAGAGAGAAGGTTTTCGAAGATGCAGAATTGGTGGCATTACTTGATCAAGACTCGTGTCAAACACAACAATAATTGGCAGGATCATTGGGAGTGATGTAACAAGCCATTTCAAAATGCCTGAAAGTCATGGGAATGATTCAGAAACAAGGAAATTGGGTGCCGTACGAGTTGCAGCCGAGAGAGGTTGAACGGCGTTTGTTTGCTTGTGAATAGCTGCTTGCAAGGCAAAGACGGAAAGGATTTCTGCATCGCATTGTGACTGGGGACGAAAAATGGGTTCATTACGATAATCCCAAGCGCAGAAAATTATGGGGATATCCCGGCCATGCTTCCACGTCGACGGCCAAACCGAATATTCACGATTCCAAGGTATGCTCTGTATTTGGTGGGACCAGCTCGGCGTAGTGCATTATGAGTTGTTAAAACCGACTGAAACAATCACAGGCGATAATTATCGAACGCAATTAATGTGTTTGAGCCGAGCATTGAAAGACAAACAGCCGCAATACAACGAGAAACATGATAAAGTGATTTTACAGCACGACAATGATCGACCCCGTGTTGCGAAAGTGGTCAAGACATACTTGAAAACGTTGAAATGGGAAGTCCTACCGCACCCGCTGTATTCTCCAGACGTTGCTCCCTCGAACTATCACTTGTTTCGATCAATGGCACACGGCCTGGCTGACCAGCACTTCCTGTCTTATGAAGAAGTTAAAAATTGGATCTATTTGTGGATCGCTTCAAAAGATGACCAGTTTTTTCAACGAGGGATTCGTATGTTGCCCGAAAGATGGGAGAAAGTAGTGGCCAGCGATGGACAATACTTTGAATCATAAATGTATAACCAGTTTTTTACAATAAAGCCTCGAATTTCGGAAAAAAACGGCGGAAGCAAAGTTGTACACCTAATACATTTGCCACATAAGACTTAATTTTCATCTTCCAATAGGTGGAAAGTCAGTCCAGCACTATCCATTCAAAATAAAAAAAAAACTAAGTAATATACTTAATAATTAATGTTTTCATACAAGTTAACTCACATATTGACATCAACTATAACAGGTCTGCTATTTCCGTTCAATCCAATAGCCAATTTATCTCGAGAATTATTTACAGCCACACATCGGCACCCTCTTGCGTGTGGTATTTCAATGGTTTTCATACCTAAGACATATTATTGCCATTACATAATATTTCAAAATTATTATATGTTTATAACGAAAAATATAAGCAAAGGATTTTAATTAAAAGTTTAATATATTGAGAAAAGTTCATATTGAAGTTATTTTTGAACTTACTGTCTGGAAAAGACCAATTTGGATATGTTTTATTGTTTGTATGACTTTTGTAGTCTTCAAAGTTCCAAAAACATATAAGAGGAGTATTTTGTGACATTGTCACTATGGTGTTGCATATTCTTTCAACTGCTGAAACTTCGATGCTACCATTTTCATGACAATTCTTTATATGGCTCACTAAGTTCGGTTTTTGTCTATCTTTGTTTACTTCATACACCGAAACATTTCCATCTCTGAAAGATTGAAATTCATATTTAATATGTAATAATTATTAATATATAATATGTAAGGCTATATTTATTTATAAACCAACCTATTACCACATACTATGACGCCATCTCTAACAACAAATCTTGATATATCATTTGTTCGTATATCATTCCTTGTTACCGTCGGAACTGTTATTGACCACAAAAAATTACAAGGAATTAAGCCTTTCCGGGTGAGACCATAGCATTTTAATTCCGAACCCACTGAGAGGTATAATGTATCGGAATTTAAAAATTGCAACCATGGCATATAATTTGTATTGTGTTGGACTAGTACCTATGAATTAAAAAATAAAAATGTTATTTTTTATATAAGAATAGAATTTTTCAAATTTTTTATTTTTATTTTACCTTATTTCTATATATTCCTTTATGCCAATTGTGACTTATTCTACATCTATTATACATAGAATACAATTTCTGTTCCCTGAAACAATTTAATATTACAATTAGAAATAGAATAATAAAATAAGGCAAATTAGTGTAGTCGTGTAGCCGTTATTCAAATATATTTCTTGTACCTGCCCTTGGTCTGTAAAACCAATTTGTTGCGAAATATTAGCCTCATGAAAATATTTTCATTAACTATTAAGCCGTGAAGAGTCTTACATGTTAGCATGAGGTTACGAATATCATTTAATTCTAAATGTATCACTATATTCGCTAAAACCTCCAACGGCAATTGGATAAGTGAATTTGTAGTCATTTTTATCTAGAAATATTTCTAAATAAACCTTTTTGCTTGAGTATGGGATTAAAATAGAATTATTTTGATTAATTTTATATTTCGTATTATACATGGTACTCTTTTTATGCAGATGTTAGAAGTAAATAATTAATAAACATGAAAATGTTACTATTTTGTGGATCGTAGATACATGATTTTAATTTATAAATATGACAGGAGACAGTTGACACTTCATGGAGGACAGATTACAGATATAATTTGCAACTGTTAACCGGAAAAGTATAACAGCTGCACTAATTCAAATAAATGGAAAATAAATATTAAATATAACTTATTTAAAAACGTATTACATCAATATATTTGTTTATTTACAATACGTCTAAATTATACCATAATAAATAGTGTTTAATATTTAATTTTACCCTTGATATTATGTGAGATAGGTAATTTTATTAATTTGTATAATTCATACATTTTATATAGAACAATGTTCAATGTTCTATAATTTAGAAGAGAATAAGAATATTAAAAACTTATCTAATATAAAATATATAATTTTTAAACTCAACTGTTAAGGACGTATTTTCATTTTTCAATGACAATTCATTATTCCATTGACAAACTGTGGACAACCTGTCGCATTCTTAGAATTTTCTTTAAAATTGCAAATGATATTATGTACTAACACTGCGTCATGATTGTTCTTCTTTTGCGTGTTAGTGGCTCATCGTTGTTCTACGTAACCAGATAATCATATGAGCAAACACATTCATTGCATTTGTAAATATAATAACGTCAAAAAATTTATAACATACATGAAATCCCATAATTTTGTATTCAAAGAGTTGTCGTTAAAGTTTTGTTTGCTGTGACATTCACTTTATTTGTGCTCTCGCGATGGATTTGTTTAAACAGAGTGAGTATTTGTTGCTACTTTTCAATATTTTAGTGTAGTCTTTGTGATCACTGATAAATTATAATACGCATAATAAATTATTATTGGAATATATGTTGTGACGATTTACATCAAGGCCGTACAGTCGGTACCTGGCACTAATGCGATACTGCTTTAGCGTAGCGCGTTCTACCAGGGTGGGTGGACCTCTTATCAAATATTATCGTGTTGAAAAACATATCCGCTATTGTGAATTGTCATATCAGCTGTAAGCTTTCGTAGAGATCAGTCGTTGACATTTCCAATTGGAATTAATTTATTGTTGCGATCTTCCTGTTTGAACACTTTGTTAATAGTAATACTTAATAGGTAGATTTAATATTATTATTTTAGTGGTTGTGGTGTGAAATAAATTCTTATATATATTTTTCTCTCGCAGATATGAAGGGACCTACACGGCCAGCTCCCGCCGTTCCCAGCATGGGTGTCAGTAGATACTCTCCTGTCACTAACTGGAATGATGATCCTTTTGGTGCTGATGTCTTTGAACCGACGCCGTCGTATGCACAAAAGAAGAAGCCGCCACCAAGGCCGCCGCCGCCCAAAGTGTCTAAACATCCGGATATACCAACAAAACCTTCCCATTTCATACGTAAACCTACAGTTCTATCTTCGATTTTGGGCCGACACAACAAGAACAAAGTAATCCAACAGAATGCGAGCCAACCTATATTAGATGTAAATAGTGATGTGGATACACACAAAATGTTTCCTAAATGTGATCGTGCAAATGTTCAAATGGGTACATTGATAGACTTATCCTCGCCTCCCAGTTCTCCAACGTTCACAACAAGATCCAGTAGTGATGGTGTTAGTGTTGATAGTTTTGGTTCAGATGCAACAACATCAACTAATCATCAAAATGCATTCGGTGGTAACGCATCTCAGGCTGAGAGTGGTTTCGAAGATGATTTTGATCTCTTCCTTAATTCAAGGAAACCGCTGCACAAAGATGATACTATAGATGATTTTGCAAATGTTGATCCGTTTTCTCCGTTACCCTCTAAAACTGTAACGAAGAAGACTGTTTTCAGTTCTGAGTCCTATGAGACGTCTAGTATAACGAGTAGTCAATATTCCGTGCCTCCTTTGAAAGGACCAACTATAATCCGTGCAAAGCCAGCAAGACCAAAGCCTCCAGATAATTCAGCATTGTTAAAGAGCACATTTGGAAGCGATTTCCATTTGACCTCGATGAATGTCAATACCACAACACCAATTACCAAAATTAGTAATGGCTTCAATAACTTTGTGGTAAGTGGAAATTTTTGTTATAAATTAAAAAAGAGACTACACAATTTTTTTCATAAAAATTAACAAGAAATGTACATTTTAACAGAATTTTGTGACATCACCTTTAAAAAGGTCATACGTGTTGCTAATTGCTGGAATTAGCGTTAATTAAAACTTGTGATGCTACTAGATATGGTTGTGACAACACTCCCAAATTTGATTTACAATTTTAACTTGTGTTATATCCAAATAGATTTGAGAGAAGTATAATATATGTAAAACCTTTTTGATGAAAAATATGTAAAACCTTTTTGATATCAACAATATGACTGGCATAATAAACAGAAGCAACATTATTTTTTTTTACATTGAGTCATAAGTAAATATAGAGGATTAAAAGTTGTCTGATAAAAACAAATATTTGATTAATTATTATCAGTTAATTTGATAGTATTGTCTATTTTAAGGAAATATTTTCCTCATGTACAAAACAACAGTGCATTTTTTAATGTATCATTTTAGCATATTATATGTTCAAATATTAAAATCTAATTAGCAACTAATTTCTCATAATAATAATAATTGATATATTGCATATTCTGTTATCTATTTTAACTGTCATTTCATAATTCTGACCACTTTATTTTATTTCTATTTTTTTATATATATACAAACTTTTTAGAAGTCTAACGACATAATATTCTTGTTTATCTATATGAAGTAAATTTTAAATGCTTTTTAGAAATTATTTCAAATTGCATTAAACTTTATTGCATTCTTAGTCCTATTTTAAAACTCGTTTCCATGGTATGGTCAAGTTATATAAGTTTGTAACAATGACTTTTGTTTGTAAAACGTAATTTGATTTCCCTTTCAATATAAATGACGTGCTCAGTTTGTTCTTACGTGCTTGGGATATGTCGGAGTTATTCGATAATAACTATAATGGCCCATGAATATTAATTGTTTGGACTAGCGGCCACTTTGTACCGCTCAAGACATTTTAAATGTTATACTGTAGCTAATTCAATAAGATATGTATTAATAATAATATTTCAAACACGTGACTAGCCTTACCTCTTTTGTATTGTCAAGTAAACACATAGTTTGAATTTTTTTCACTTAAATTCTTGAAGTATGTCAACATAGGTATTAAAGTGAAAAACTGAAAGTATCTAAGTTTATTTGAAGCTGAAACTTGTGGTAGGTATAAATCTCGTTCGGATATACTCGTATACAAATCTACTTAGCGTAAGAGCATTTTGCTTCACGGTCAATTATCTGCTTAATATGTTTTTATTTTGTTGTAACTTTTTTACAGTATTATAATTAAAATCCGTATATTTACGATTTTAATCAAAAATAGGTATAAACAAACGTTAAATAAAGTAGAAACAAAATATTATTTACATAGTGTACATAATCAAATCTATTTCGTTTTTTTTTTATATATTATATTGTCAAAAACTGCTCTTTAATCAATTTTGTATTCGTATGAAATACATATTATGCACATTCTAATTTGAGAAACTTAAACTTTATAACATTTAGATAAAAATGGGATTCATAATAATTTTTAAATCCAATTCATAGGAAACGAAGCCAGATATAACCTTCACTTGGGATTCATCACCTGAACGGGATTCTTCACCACCTATGCCAACGATCCCCCCTCCCCCGCCGCCGGTCATCACCGATGAGGATCTACCAGTTGTATGGCCCGAGGATTTGGATGATGATGATGATGATGATGATGAACCATACGCGATAGCACTATTCGACTATCACACGGGCCATAGGGAAGATTTGTCGTTCACCGTAAGTTATTTTTATTAAGTAGATATTGCTTCTCGGTTTAATAACCTCATATAGCAATTAGTTATGAATACTTAATTTATTGTTAATGTTATCTTTATTGTATATTACATGTTATTGTTTTGTTTATGTAAACAAAATGTCGGTTTTTTTCCGGTATATTTTATTCTGCAAATTTTCTGTAAAAAGTATTTAAGGTTTTTATTTGTAAATATCTTTTTAAACGAAGCATATTTATTATATGATATATTATTTATTGAGTCCATATTTTATGTTTTAGTAGGAGTGTTCTTTGTGGATACAAACCCGAACAGTTTTTTTTTGATCTTTGACAGAATTTATTTATTTACTTTATTCTTACACTAATATACTTATTATTCTGTAGAATTATTATCAAATATGTTGCTCATATTAAAACGAAGCTAAAATTAAATATTCCTAATACTTCATAAACTCGAAATTTAATATATTCATATAGGAACTTAAAAACATTTTAAACAATGGACGGTGTTTTTAATTAAAAAAAATATGAAGAGATAAAGATTTAAATAGCAAATAAAACCTTTTTGTATTAAATTCAAGTCTACTGGCAACCGACAATTCATTTTACAAAAAAAAAAAATGTATATATGTATATGTATAAGAAATGTTTATAATATTACTCTTTATACAAGTGTTCTCACGTACTCCATAACGTAAATGTTTCAAAAAAATTAATTTTCAAAAATACCATAGATTTCACATTAGTGTTCTTTTAAAGTACAAAATAATTTAATATTTTATATATAGTTCATATTTCGTTATCGAGTCAATTTTATTACTCTTTAGATTTTAAACCGTTACAGCCCAGTTTTGAAATTACATGCTCGGTCAACCATTTTAAGATTGACGTCATTTTAAAATGAACTTTGTTATATATAACACTATAGCATTTTAACTTAAAAGGAACAATATTTTTTATAGAAAAGATAGGTTAAAATAATTACATATATAAATTTTTATTTTCTTTTTGTGGATAGATATAAATATATTTTTGTAATGGTTATACTGAACGCACTTTTATTACGCCTCAAATATTATGAATGCATTCAAGTTTAGTAACGACGTATTCGTTTTAAAAATAGTCCGTATATAAATTCATCCGGTTGATATGGACCAAATTCCACCGCCTCTAATTATCTATAATTAAATTTCTACCAGATGTTATCACAATTTCAGTGGTGCCGCGTGATTTAATTAAGATTCCTTTATCATATGCGTTTGACCCTTGACCCTTTGTCTGGCTTCAATTACTTTAGTCTCCATATTGAGATATATATACATATATGTATATATATTTGTATTTTACGTATAGGGGCGTGTGAATTGTTCCTATCCAACACATGGCTTGTAGCCAAGTAATCTTTTTTTGTTTATATATTTAGATGTAACTATACATTTGTTATATATTTACTTAGCGTATTGGTTCACGGGCGATCCGCACTTGAATAATACAAATGACATTATGATGAAGGTCAAATTGCCTTGTATCTAGATTTTTACTTTCCTTATATCTTGTTATTTTATTAGGTTTGATTATAATGAGAGTTTTTATTTTAATGAAACTTATATTTGTATTACTACGCGTTATATTATGTATTTTAAAAACTACATACTCTTAACGTTTTGGTTACTATATAGCAACCTGGATCACGGGCAGATGAGATGTAGTCACAATAATATTAGTTTCATTTAAGTTTGATTAATATTCAATAATATCGGAATCTACAGTTCTATCGTAATATGAATTACGTATACCTTTTATTGTTTGACACAAAACATATATGATCTTGAAGGAAAATTCTAGAAGGTACACAAAGTTAATTTATTTTAATTTAACGAGTCTAGTTATAATATAGTAATAAAGTTGCATACATTTACTTCGTTTAAACCGTAATATTTCTATATTATCGTTATTGCGACACGTCTATTGCTTTTCCTGGTGCTCAGCGCAAGTTTACATCATCACGCTACGTATGGAGTTAACAGGTTTTAATACATCTTTGATTTGATATTTAGTAGGTCATTGAATGAAAAACGGTCAACGTATAGTATGTAGTGTGAAGATACAAACTCGTACTAAGGATTTACAGATAGTCGATTTTTTATTTATTTACGTTAATAGGAACTGATTAATGTTGATTCCCAAAAGAGGGTTGATGTCAGGCAGGCGGCTGGTCATAAAAACAATTAGCCAAAAACTATTCACAACATGTAAGGCAGACCCTGGCTATAGCTGGGAAATTGCCAGGTAGAAGAAGAAGATACGTTGATAGGAACATGTGCATACTTATGTATAACATAACTTTCTATATTCGAAGTCTGTAAAATTAAAACATACACATTTTCTAGAGGTTAATCTCCTCGAACAGAATATTTTGAAAAACATGACGTCATACATGTTTTAAAATTGTTCTCTCTCTTGTTATATTTCACGTACATATTTTTCAATGTCAACAATCTATCGACTGCGCAGCACGTCTGGTTTTGACAAATTGTAGAAAAACAATATATAAATAAACCGATTTTTTAAATGCTTTCTTTTATATAAATATGTATTAGTCGTTTCCAATAGTTATTGGATTTTGTAACTAGATTAAACAATTTGTCTAAATAATTGTGATTTGTGACGTAATACAATTTTTTTAATTTTTTTTGCTATGACGTCATTCAATGAATTCACATAAACCCTAAAAATATAAAAACTCCTTTGAATATTACTTATGTGTGAATAGAATATTTATGCCACATATTCATAAGTAATAACGGCTTTTATTTTGTTTCATTAAAATGTTATTGTCTATGATTTTCATGGACATAATGATTAATTCTGTTGCATTCTATTTAGCCGTGATACGTATATATGTATGTATGTTCTTTTTACATGACATATTTATTTAGGCAAAGGCATTATGTATAATGCCAAGTTGCCCCCATATAAATACTTTTTAGTCTAAAATAATTTGATTATTCGATTGCGTATTGTAACTTAATATATAATGATAATATTTATCGTTGTCAGTACATGCGTCAGGGTAGTTAATACACATGTTCAGTGACGTATATAATTAATGTTATTTGTTAAGTATGGATGAATGACGTCTATTTAATATACTCGAACATATATATGTACTTTTTTAAACATACATATATATATGTTTCTTTGCATATAAGTCTTATATGCCTGTCATCGTGTATTTCCTTTTCCGCTGTAAGGATTATTTCCTTATTGTATCCAATCGTGGGTTTTAGTGTTTTAACTATGAAAATGTTATTTTAATTCAGTTCTGTCATTTATCTCAGTGGCGTAGGCAGTGCTGTGGTTCTACCCATTGATAAAATATATATCACAGGAACTCGTCGTTCCGATTTCCACTTACGATTGCTGTTTACCGATTCGAAAAATAATGGAGTTCTCAGAATGCAACAAAATAAGAAAAAAAACATTTAATGTATGCTTAATTTAATAGTAGTTTATAATTCTGAATTATTTTTATTCTGTTTGAATGCTGACGTTTTATTTTATATTTAATTCTGATTCAACATTAATTATTTTTTTAAATATTTTGTTAATGTGTACTACAGTGCAATTAAAAATACATTTTTCTCGAATGTTCCCATTACTAAGAAAAAAATACATTACCTAAACAACATTTTGTCACACATCTAATAACATAATTCTAAAATACGTTTTTCTTCGGTTTGTTTTTCTAACAAAGGAATCCGGCTCCTTTGTTATTTTAATACATGTTGAGTTATTTTTTTCACAACTGTTACCAATACCTAGTATCTATGAGCTTTGTTTTCTATTAATTACATACGATAGATTATATTTTAGGTATATGAATAAAAACGAATTAACTGTAGGTATAGAGTTTGTATTTTCTCTTATTAAGGGTCTTGCCGTGTCGTAATGTTGTTTTGACATTTCAGAAGATTCGAGGTTGTATAGAACAAAAATAAAATTACGTATGTTAGGATGATCGGTAATATATAAAAAAAAATGTACGTGGACACTCTCCGAAGAGGTGAAGCCCCGTAATGTTGGAAAAAAAGAAGACGTAGAAATTGATTTTTATGGAATGTTTAGTGGTTTTTTCATACAAACTTTATTAACTTACAAGTCATCTCTTCGAGAGCCACGTGACACGTCTTCCCTCACTCTGTCTCTTTATACCCCTAAAAATTAACGCAAACTTGTTGGAAGTCGTATGAGTTTCGCTTCAATATAAAACTAATATCTTATAGTAAGCACAGTAAAAAAGATGTTTTCTTCTGGTAAAATATAAATTTTTTCGATGTTATCGAAAAAAGAAATCGTAAATCTACATAAAAACGTATAGATAAAGCAATATGGGTCATATTATTACAGTTTCAATTTCGATACCACAGATTTAAAAATTAAACGCAATTACTTTGTTTACGAAAACATCAACAAAAATACACATTATCATTGTTTGTAATTTTTATTCATATGACGGCGCATCCGTCAAAAATCATACGTCAGGTTGACCTTTAGCTGTCTGAGGTTAGCCTAGTGAAGCGTCATTGTCGATGGTAGCGTGGGCGGCCATCTTTATTATACAGTTTTCGTTCGGGATGACGCCCGCGCACCGCGCTCGTGACGAATCGCTGTGTATCGAAGTGATAGTTATATCTAGTGTTTCGATTGAGTTGGTGTCGTATTGAATAGACTGTACTTTATCCCTTTCAAAGTATGAGTTCCCATGAAGGCCCTCCTGTTCTTACAACGCCCTCCTACATCAGAAGTGGGATAGCTAGATAGATAGAAATATAGAGAAGGCAAGCGTTCGTATCAGATGCATTTTTGTTCCATTAATAATTTTCCTATCTCTCCAAATTTTATTCAGTGGGGTTATTGCTATTTTGGCCATGTAAATTCTCCGACGGATTTGCATATGTACATTTTATTGGCATACTATTCACATAGATATGACTGGGAC